CGAGCAGTCCACAAGGCTGAATCGATGTCTCGGCAGCGTCCGTTCGGGAGCCTCTCGGCTAGGACGCATCTTATACCCGCTCTAGTGTACAGCTGTCCAAGGTCGATTGTCGGAGATGACCAACAGGGGAAGGGTTGCGCAAAACGCGCCTAAGGAGTAATGCAACCTGGCTTGAAATGTTAGCTCATACGAAAAGTCTGGGTCTTTGAAGCTGGGCAAGCTGATAGGCGGAGCACTAGGAAGCTTTAGAGATACGATACCACGTTGGCTCAAATCTGGAGAATGGGCTTCCTCGACCCCAACTAACAGCACTAGCATGCCGGAAATATTGGATCCCGCACAAGAATATAGCATTGACATGATGAGAGCAAGGCGAGCAGATGAAGGCATCGAGGAAATCCAGCCAACCGGTGGTGAGAAGCAATGGATGCCTAGCTTTCAAGCTATGACTGTAGAGTTGCCACGCAAGCCTCAATCCACGGATACGAGAATGGGAGACCTAGATCTATCCAGCGGCAGTCGCGGTACCGTTGGCTACGGCAATGTGACCCCTTCGCCCTGCGCCTAGCCTACGCGTGGTCCGTTACAGGGTGGATTCGTGAGCTTGCAGCGGAAGCAACGGCCTTCGTGGGTCATGACGAGGTGCATCGCCTTCACGGTATGTAGGCCTTCCGATCGACTGTGGCGCAATGATCCGACTCGCCGAGACTTGAGAATGCCGAATGTCGTTCACCGGCGACGTCGGAAGCGGCCGGGGTGTGAGTCGTCCTGCAAGCACCATCGGGGCGTGGTCGCGATCTAGATAGACTACAAATTTGTGATACGACGACTGAAGTGTGGGGTGGGGAGTAACGGTTTCTACACCGACGGATAAGGCGAGTTTTAGGTGTATACTTTTCATTCTGCTCATGGAGATGGCGGTGACCCTTGAAGTGGCACGTGCATTGGCCGCCAAAGGTGGGTCTGCTTGGCGAAGATGACGTCTCACGGAACTCTGTATGCACTTGCGAACACGCTACGATGCTTCATTCTATCACGTAGACCTAAATCATTACGACTACATATAATAAGTTCTCGTGTTGACTCAAGTCATGTATCGGGGCCGAACGGAGCAAATTTCTCCGTCTAGGAATAGTGGGCTTAATTGGGGTGGTGCCTTGCACAAGGCAGACTCAAATGTGCTCGTAAAAATAGCACAATGACATTGAAGGTTAACGCTACGATTGAAGTAGAAACTGCAAGTAAGAATACCACACGACGTGGACAGTCGATGCTGCTACTGATGTAACAAAGACCGAAGCAGTTGGTGTTGTCCAAAGCATGCGCAATACGCCAGTTCTTATGATGACTCCCATATCCTCGTGATGTTACTGTGCGGACCCAAAAGAAAACGCCAATTCCTCCTTCATTCCCGTGTTCCATGCGTGTAACCCATCATGTCGATCCAAACCCTCTTAAACTCCATGGTAATGCGTGTATCGTCGAAAGTGTGAAATGATGCGAACGTAAAGTGGCTGAAGATACAGCACTGAGTAACCAGCTCGAGAAGATAGTTGTGTGTTATAGTGAGCAAACGGCCTGGCGATGGAATGATAGCCCGTCTTCGCAGCTGAATGTGAGTTGTGGACATACAACCTCATGCATTCATCGTAGGTATGCCGGAGAAAACCCGCCGCTACCATAGCCGGAATCTGGGAGAACACCGGCATGATAGACTTGAGTTCGATGGTGGCTATGAGAGCTGCAGGCGTAGCCTACGAGAACTGTCTTCTCTTGGATCCCATGTCCTCGTTGACCATGGGCGGCGCATGGATCGATTGCGTGTTTGTAGTATAAGCACCGGCAGACCGAATAGCGCTCAATGACTTGATAACACATGCCGAAGAGTGTGTGATTGTGTATAATAGTGCCCAAATGTGAAGTGGCCCAGGGAAAGTGAAGATCTGAATAGCGTGAATGCCAACGATATGGTACAAAAGAAGATGTGTTGACAAGAGTGAACTGAGACTTGTAGTGATGAATCCTGACTCGACGTGGCAAGCGGTAGCATATATAGCGATAGGCGTGAAGTCAACTCGGACGCATAGGCCAGTGTGGGTCACCCGGTAGGCATCGTTGACTACCCGCAGCTCCGTCAGGCAACGGGGACCAAGTGTAGGGATGAGTGCACAGTCAGCCGGACGCTGCTAAGATGGGATTCCCAGAGGCAACTAACACAGCCATCGTGGCCGTTAGCTTGTTGACGGTAGGGAAAAAGGTTTGGTCTTGACATCCAGCAGGGGTTGGTGGTTCGCTTCTTGGAGGCTCTTCAGCTGTTGTGCATGGTGCGTCCCATGTTCTAATTGGTCAGTGGCCAAGACCATTTAATCTTGCCGGTTCGCTGAGCACATCAGTAGAGGCTTGAACGGGGCGCGCAGCAAAGCAGAGCTGTACAGGGTGTGGAAGCGCAGTAGAAGCTAACCGGGGCTGCAAAACCCCTGTAGCGCGCGGACCATGTGAACGTGCCACGATACCGCACAAGAGTTCATGTTCAAATCGGTACGTAGTGTATGAGGTGGGTGTCACGATAGCTGCGTGACTCTAATCGCATCTGACAACCCGCTTAGTCCCAGCCACGTTCCCTGATATAGCGATCGATCTGTTGGTAGGCAAGGAGGGGCAGTGTCATTTCTGACGTAGATTACTCAGGTTCGGGCCTCTTCGCGGACCACGGCGGTTTCGCTGGAGAAGTATCGTTTGGCCAGTGGCGCCTGTCGCGCGGGTCGGAGCTGCTACCGAGCAAAAGGTTTAACGTGAGAAGAAGAGTGCGTGGGCAGGCCGACAACGCGGAAGTCGAAGCTGGGGTAGGAGGAGGCACGTGCACGTCCTTGCGCTCCAATAAACGTGGAAGTGTCCGTTGCGGGGCAATTGGCAGTACAAAGTATTCTTGGTGCTTCCGCCCTTTTCCATCCACCACACTCCAATGAACCAGGTTTACTCAATCGCAAAGCCGATTACTTTACATGGCTGCGCAAGCTAACGGTCTTCACCAACTTCCCATTGAAGTCCATGGGCGGGACTGCCTGGAGCTTCAGGCTGACCAGCTGAGTGCTGCCTGGCGACCTATGGGCCGACGCCAGAGCTACGTCGACGATTCGAAAACAGATGCATATCCGCTTCTCTCATTGGTCACATTCCATGACTGAGTAACTTTCTGCATCTGTCGAGCATGCAAAGTTCCTTTACCTACGTCAAGTGTTTGAGCACACCGCTGATACAATCAGATGCGGATAGCTTCAAGAGCTTCCATCGCGTCATTATCATATCGAAACACTCTCGTCTACCCAGTGGCTATCCTCTGGTTGGTCCAGTATTGCTTCCGATCCCCTGTTAGGGCTGAAGACCCTGCCACTGGCTTGTTACACGGCTCGAGGCTGACCTGCAACGTTCGACAATCATGCAGCCCTATGCACCCTCCCGTTTCCTGGGAACGCGTGGTGGCGGTCAGTATGTCGGATGCTGCACCACCTACGTTTTCATTTGCGGTTACCGGTCGCATCTCCAATAACGTTCACGACCATCACCCTTTGCATGGCCGCAAGCGCTTTGGAAAGTGTGCGTGCCACACCGGCCCCATGCCATAGTTACTTGTTTCAGTAAACGAAAATGTAGGTCCGCAGCAGTCATCAGAACTTTCGGCCCCCAACCCTACAACTGGTCCACCAAGAGACGAGCATGATGCAATCGTGCTTGTCTTATTCCATTCGGTCCGATCAAGTCACTGTGTGCTCGTAACTGCACAGACAACTTTGTCCGACTTCACCTCCGGAATACTTAGGTATATGTTGAACGTTGCGAACACAATTCAGCTAGTGAAGGGAAGAGGTGACACCGTGAAATGACTGCGGGCAGCGAACGCAGGTCCGACCGTACCTGCGACCAGCGCACGTAATGCCATCTACCTTTAGGTACCAACCAAAATAGAGTGACACCGTTGTGCTGCGCCGGGTGTCCCTTTCCTTGAGCGACCTTGGAACGCAACGCTAGCAGAGTCACGATGACCTGCCGAGGCATCACGATTGGTATGTAGAAAATGCAGCAGCATTCATGGAATAGGTTAGCCAAAGAACAAAGATGCTATATTGTCAACGCCACCAAGCTGACAGAGCAGCCTTACTACCGATATATCCCCGCGCTTCGTAGACCTATCGCGCTCCACGGATGCGCCCGTACAAACAAGCGAGAACCGCATGTCCGGGCAGACCATCGCTTCATATGCTCCTAAGTAGCAATTGTACGATGTGCCACTTCACCGCTTAGACCCCGCGTCAGCTGACTTACATGCGCTCGAATACCCCACGCACCATCTCGCCCATCGTTCCCGCAGATACGGTACCAGGCGAGTGTCTCGGGACCTGTAACGATGTCGGCACTGCCTAGTTATCACTCACCGGAAACAGGGCGAAGATATATCCGGTTGCTGTTCGTATGTTCTTTGGATAACATTGGATACGATATCCCACTTGCATCATTCTATACATGGGATACACCGCCTTCTTTATCTCCAAATGTCCGGTTGCTCCTCCGCATGTTGGTTCCACGAAGTCACAACGACCTATGAGTCAGTAGCAAGGCGTCACTGTTTTGACCGGAATCATTGCACACAGGACGAGCAACCCAACACCGTTCGTTGCCCGAGGCGACACGAAGGAATCACAACAGGGTTAACAGCTTATAAAGCTTACGATAAGTCACAGCGGGCAAACGTCCTGTTTGAAAATGAGAGGGTCTATTATTGAGTGATACGTATGAAGGTCCTCAAAGCAGATAAAGCCAGAACAATCGACTTGGGGGTATATCCATGTCTTCCACCAAGCCTGGCGGGATCAAATGTCCTATCCTGACAGGAATCCCGCTGAACAAAGAAAAAATCCTCCAAACGCCCCCGGTGTTCTTCTAAAATGGTCGTAACGTCGTCATATTATACATCTCCCATCCGCGAAGTCGAGCGTTGCTTGGTCTTACATCAAGACTCCAGCCAGTACCATCATACCAACTGCGTAGTATCCGACGTACTTTCCGGCACTCAAGCTCATAGCTCCGCTGTCGTCGGTGCCACCAGGCGCAGTGGTGCCTTTCTCAAGGGTACCATTTAGAACAAGAGACCTGGTGCCATTGACATCAGAAACTGTGACAAGGGTCTTGTTGAGTGCGGCATAGCTGCCGTTGCCGACAAGATCGTTGAGGTATTGCTGGTCGTCGTTCTCGTCGCATCCACAGACGAATTCCTCTTCGCACAAGCACACGACGGGGAGAGACTCATTGCGGCCCTGCGTTTGGCGTGTCCACAGTGCGCGCCGGTCATTGTCGTTGTCGTCATCGTCGTTGGTCGCGGACTGGTTGTAAAAACGGTAGGGGTTGTTGTAATAGTAAGGGTAGGCGCTGTGGAGCCACAGGCCGGGCATGATGGCCACTACGAGGGCTACTCCAATCAGAGGAGCGGCGACGAGTCCCTTGGGCGTTCTCGAACCAGCGGTGTAGGGTGTTCGAGCACCGCCGCCATAGTATTGTCCACCGCCGAAAGTGCGCGGTCGACCTGATCCAGCGGAGGATAGGCCACCAGCGTTGGAGGAGGGTGATGTACGTCCTGAAGAGCCGCCACCGCTGCTTCCTCCACCCGAGCGACTGCCACCGCCTCCGCCACCACCTCCACGGCCACCGCCTCCCTTGCGACGCTCTAGTGTGTGGTCTGGTGAGACAATTTCGGAGGGAGGAACAACTCGTCGCTCTTCGAGGACGTTGAGGGCGTTGGATTCGGGTATCGAGGCGGCGCTGATTACTTGTGCGGCAACAAGGCCGGTGAGGATCTGTGAGAACTTCATGATGATGTTGATGTGTGACGGTGATACAGGAGAATCGCGGATGTAATTTGCGACACCAGATCTCGGGTCGAAGTAATACCGATAAAGCTACAGGGATGTGATAGTAGTGTGGTATGAGAAAGCAAAACGTAAGATGTTTGCAGTGTGATTGTGTAGCGGAGTTGCTAGGTATAGGGTAGGATCAATGTACGGGTTTGTGAAGAGGCAGGCGTGGGTCTTTAATGTTGTGCTGGCGCAAGACATGGGTTGCACAGCCCTGCGTCATCAAAGAAAGCCTGGGGCAAAGGGTAAAGCTTAGTCGGTTGCGACCCGCCACCATACCAGCCAAGCTCAACGCCATAATCTAGCAGGCAGTTGGGTGCCTGACCAGTTGTTCCCGATCTGACCATGCTATAGGCTAAATCCTATGGATTTTTGTGGCTGAAGCATGCGATTTCTTTGGGCGCCCGTTGGTATACGCTGTAAAAGCGCCGTTGATCTGCTCGAATGGGCGCAATGCTGCACAAACGCCTGACACAATTTGGATACCTTCTCACTCTCGACCACAACCTGAGTCTGTCCCTGAAAGTCTTCATTGTAGAATATTCATGACGTGCAAATCGATCAAGTGCATCGCATTACTCAGGGTATATGACCTCATGGTTGCTGATCTGCCGAGGCACTAAACGAGCCTCCGAACCAGAGGTGTGGCCAAACGCATCACAGACTGGATGACCAACAAACCAGAGCAAGCTCTGCCGAATATCCGATTGCGCCTCGATGTGGTTTGCTAGCGGGAGGCATTGCAATCGCTATGAATCACTACCATGGAATCTCGTCATTGGTGCGCAAATGTGCTCTGGGCATACGGCGCGGAAACAACGAACGCCAAGAACGCAATCTTGGGTGTGTGGGACTGCACGCATCAATGTGCGCGAACCATAACAATGAATGTTGTGTCTTGCATGTATGGATCTCGAAGCGCATGATGCTTTGTTGGCACAACCCGGTATTGACAATGGGCAGCATCGTGGCAGGATTAACGACAGGACCGGAGTAAAAGGCTTGGCAATTGTGACGGAGTATCATCGTACTGCGGTGTAGGACGCCTAAACGGTAAACGATGCTTCGTGATACTTGGATAATGGCCGCACCACATGCTCCATTCCTCCGCCGGCCTGCTTCTTCAGTAAAGCTCTTTGTTGTCCGTCGAGCGCCTGGTCCTCATTGTGAACAATTTCTACGATATAATTGTTGATTTGTTCGCGCGACCCTACATGTTGTTACTGCACATGCGAATGGAGTTTCCGCATCTCGAGCCGTTGATGGGCCACCGATAGTCGTAGGGCTATGTATACGCCGGTCCCTTGGTCTGGGTTCAACGGTGGCGCAGCCAGGGCACATGGTAGGCCTGGTACTTCGTGACCGTATCTGCGGGCAGCAAGGCTGATGTGGCGCTATGCCTATGAGTTGCCGGGCTTTGCGCAGCAGACATGGTCTACTCGGGCTATCATCGTGCTTGCGGTGGTGGTTCAGCGGGGCCTCCATCCGACACTGTCTGGTATTTCCTGTATTCCTGCTCGAGTTCTCTCTGCATCTCGAAGTCGGCCTGTCGTTCGCGCTTGACTCGTTGCTGTTCGAAGTCCCGGATGACGCCCATGTGCATTGCCTGATACAAGTTAGATAATTCCTGGACCATGTCCGTTCCGCAGTACTCACGGCTTTGTCGTTCCTCTGCGACCAATGCACAAATGCTACGGTACCGATTGCGGTGACGCACGTAGTCGCCAGTGTGATCTGCGACGCTCGAGACATGGCGGGGACCGTGGAGTAAAGGCGAAGTTGGGGACGGAGCCTTGTGTAAAGTTGGAGCGGCTTCTCTGCGGGTGGGAGCTCGGGCCTTAGAGCTCCTTCCGCCAAGTCGACGGCTGCATCATGCCTCTCCGCAACTCTACCCTGTGATAACCAACATCCCCGCAAATCAGCACTCAAGATGGTGAGGACATCAATAGCAGGATGTCGGGGCGAACACTGACAGCTACAGTCCGCCCAAAACTCCGCGGGAATCCAGACCCTGCTCGATGTAAGGCAGCGCAACCCACTACAACCTCCGCATAGCTCACACCGCACCTAGGCCGAGCGCGAAGCTCAGAAGATTGTTCAGCAAGGTATTTCAGCACCCAAGCTTGTCTGTTCAGGTAGTCGCTAACCACTCACCAGCAAGAGAATGTAAACAACGCCCGACGTACCCAGCCGTCTCAACACTCTAACCGACCCAGACCGTACGAAGCGAGTAAAGGACGCCCGAAACGAAGCACAGAAGGAGATCGAGGACTACAGGAAAGAGAAGGAGTCCGAATACCAGAAGTTCGAGAAGGAGGTGCGTCGGCCGAGACGACCTACTATACGCGTAACGAAAGTGGGAGACTAACTATGGCGCAGCACAGCTCAGGCAACCAGAAGGCTGAAGAGGACGCAAAGAAGGACACAGATGCCAAGGTCAAGGAGATTGACGAGATTGGCAACAAGTCTGGCAGCAAGGTCGTCGACCAGCTCATCGAGGCCGTCGTAAACGCGCACCCCAAGCCACCGGGCAAGCAGGACTAGAGCGCCAACACAAGTGGTAGGATGAAGTGTGGAGTCAGACTGGTGCGATGCTGTTGAGGAGACATATGAAGAAGAGCGCTCCTTGTACATGATCTTTGACGGACCCAAGACAGTCAAGGTCGATCTATCGGCCTCGAACATACCAACAATAGACGATATGCTGCGAGTTTGGTGAATGTACTCCAGTTCAACTTGCCTTTTTCTTCTAGGCTTAATGGTCGAGTTGATGTCTATCGTGAAATACATTCCAGTCTTCCAAGGTCACCAACCCGACACGCTTGTATAGCGCATACAACTACATTGGTGACGTCCTAGAAGTATGCATCTGTACTGTGTTCTTAGCCTCGCATGTGTGAATAGCAGACCAAGTCCTCATATCTTAGTTGTTGCTGCACCTCTCTACTCGTTGCGGACCCTGGCCCACGCTCGTCCTAGCTTCCCGAGGGCCTACGTCACTGCTGTGGAACTTTATCGCTCAAGCATCAACGCGTCCCCAGACTGCAAAACAATGCGCTGTACCCAATGATACGAATCTGTGCTCGAGCGACCATTCGCTCGCCTGTATACAGAACCACATCATGTATACTCTCACCACTAAATGCGACACGCCAATTCAGCGGCTCGCAATGTCGCAAAGAAGATCCGCGCATCTCCGACTTTGGTCGCGAGATTGTAGATGAGTTTGCTGTAATGCGCGAGAAATATGGTATGCCATGCCACTATCAAACTCAACTTCTGAAAGTAGCTAACGAAAAGTAGATGCACCTGTATGTGCTTTCGTCCTTCGCACATCGCACCCCTGACCCTTCCAGAAACACACCATAGTCCTTGCACACGGTTTGCTAGGCTTCGACGAACTACGGCTCGCAGGACAGTTCATACCTGGCATACAATACTGGCGTGGCATCACAGATGCGCTGGCGCACAAGGGCATCGAGGTTATCGTGGCTGCGGTCCCAGCCAGTGGCAGTATCGAGGCGCGCTCTGCGAAACTGGCGGAGAGCATTGCGCTCAAAGCGAAGGGAAAGCAGGTCAACATTATCGCGTGAGCTGAATTGATCCAATGAGATGCTGCATCGCAGACCACTAACAATTCATAGGCATAGCATGGTATTGACACATTGACATGATACAATAATGAGTGACTGACCTCTACTTAGGGGTAATCAGTGCCTACACCCACGCAATGCAGTTACTAAATACACGTAGGGGTCTCGACTCACGATACATGATCAGCCAGCTCCGGCCGACTGACTTCAAGATTCTCTCTTTGACCACCATAGCCACTCCACACAGGGGTTCTGCTTTTGCAGATTACATGTTCGAGACGATCGGTCGTACGTCAGTGATACTTCTTGAATGCTTCTACTAAACTATTTCTAGCACGCAGAATCAAACGTGTCTACAGTGTTATGGAGTACTTCGGTCTTGAAACTGGCGCCTTCTCCCAACTCACGCAAGAGTACATGAAGAATAACTTCAATCCCAAGACGCCAGACATACCTGATGTCAAGTATTACTCATATGGCGCATCTCTCGAACCCACTCGATGGTCCGTCTTTGCGCCTTCCCACAGTATCGTCAAGGCAAAGGAGGGCATCAACGATGGCCTGGTCAGGTGCGTGGACGGCTGGCGTTTGGTACGCTTAATGACAACTAACCACGTTGATAGCGTCGAGTCGAGTCGGTGGGGCGACTACAAAGGCACCTTGATTGGTGTAAGCCATCTCGACCTGATCAACTGGACGAACCGGCTGAAGTGGTTCTTTTGGGAGCTTACGGGCAGCAAGCGCAAGTATGGAAGCGACGCTCACAACGACTGCTGAACTTGAGCTGACCATGATGTAGCTTCAATGCCATTGCATTCTATCTTGACATATGCGGTCAGTAGCTCTGGTCCAAACTTTGGTGACAGATCACTGACACAGATCACAGATATGCTGGCCAAAGAAGATCTGTGAACTTGCCAGATGCACACCAACAAGTCGCAATTGTGGATGCGTTCTGGTCCTCCTGTATCTGACGTCTGAGCAAGCTTGTGCGTCGTCGTGGAATTCAGCTCCGCCCTTTGAGAGAAGGCTATTGATTAATGAGCCTCAGCTGAGGAAGCGTTGCGCCCAGTCACACGACGCGATGCTCATGTAAGACAGGGGTCAGCTTCAGCCCGGAAGTGCGGCTATGGCTGTGGCTGTGTCCGGCACATTGTCCGAAATGGGCACATGGCATGCCGAATATGTACACTCAAAGTTTAAGTAAATACGCAAAAAGATACTCTCTTCAGGGTACAACCTTGAACGTTGCCGCAGAAGCCGTGCAAGAGAGTGGTTTGGGTGATTGTTGCGTTGAAAAGCCTTCGCGTTGGGTTATGACGTTGGGGACGGACCCTGGTCAGGCAGAAGGAACCCCGCGGGCATCCGTTCTGGAGATGCCCAGCCCGCATCGCAAACACTCCCACGACATGACACGCGTTCCCCAGGCTTAGCCGCTGCATCACCAACTGACTTCATGCGCTAAATTGATCGTCTGCTCCCCAGCTACAACCTTTATCCTTGACATGTCGGTTCACTTCTACAAGCTTCGCGACTACCCGTTTACTTAGCCACCCGGTGCCTGGAAGCAACATTGAAATACTGGCCACTAATCTTGAACGCGAACCTTCAAGATGATCGTCAACATAGTGCTCGAGAACCCTCACGAGCACTACACCAATCTCGACGTCATCCAAGGCAGAGTCCATCTGCGGGTGCCGAATCCGACCAACATTAGCAGCATTATCGTGAAGCTAGAGGGCGAAAGCAGGACGCGACTGCTGGCACCCATACACCCAAACAGACCAGACAAACAGCGACCAGTGCTGGAAGTCCACAAGTTCCTGTACAAGACACAGGTGGTGTGGCCGACAAATGTGCGCCCCGAAGATGTCGCCCAGAATCCGAAGGCAGCCTTCACCATCAACGCCGGGTCCTTTGAGTATCCGTTCCAGTTCAAGGTACAACGCGCAATACACGTCAACATATCGCATATAGCTAACAACCCTCTCAGCTTCCTCTCAATACGCAATGCCAGCAGACGAATAACCCCATCTCCAACGTTTCCTTTTCGAACGCGATACCCGAATTCGCGAAGACACCGACACAACATGTAAAGGCGACACTACCTCCTACACTGGGTGGATTTCCGGGAGAGGCAGAGATACGATACTTTGTCAAGGTCACAGTAAACAGACCGCAGTTCTTCAAGGAGAATCCCAGGGCAATTGCGAACTTCAATTTCCTTCCGATTGAACCTCCAAGACCAGACAAGACAGACGGCGAGGCGTATGCGAGGCGACAACATGAGTTCCTTGAAAATGCGCCAAGCGTAGCGGCAGGCAAACGAATGAGCTTTTTCGATAGAAAGAGCTCGACAGGAAGTGTTCCACCATCACCGACGACAGGCAGTGTGCCACCTCGGATAGCCATTGATGCCCGATTACCCAATCCTGCCATCCTCACTAGCAACCAAGACTTACCACTGAGACTACTGGTGAAGAATGTCAGCGCGCGCACAAAGAACATTTATCTGCAGATGCTCCAGATTGAGCTGATAGGGTATACCAAGGTACGCGCGCATGAGGTATCACGGACAGAGTCGAACAGCTGGATCCTGTGCTCTTTCAGTAACATGGCCATTCCCATTGGAAGTCCTTCTGACCCTCTGGATACGGAAGTGCCCATTAATGCCGAGTACTGGTCTGGGAAGCCAGTACCCAATACGGTGCCACCCACCTTCACGTCCTGCAACCTCGCGCGTTTCTACGAGTTGGAGATACGTGTTGGCGTTGGCTATGGGAGCTACAAGCACGGTGAAGATCAGCTCATTGTCTTACCCCTCAGACTACCAGTCAAGGTCTACTCGGGCATCGCGCCACCCAAAGCACTCCTGGAAGGTGGTTTCCCTGCAGACAAACCCACCACACTTGCCCCACCGCCCCAAGCAGCTGCTCACACACCAACAACGCCAACACAAGGAGGTTTCAACGCATCTAACGCGTCTTTTGGGCAGCCAGTACAGCCCCAGCATGCTCCCGCTTATGACGATGCGCCGCCGAGCTACGAGGACGCGATTGGACAGGATCTTCCCCCGATCAATGGGTACAGAGGTAGTTACCAGCCCCCTCCTGCACCCGAAGGCGCGCCTAGGTTTTCCGACGAAAAGAGACGATGAAGACGTATACTACGCCTATGTTCGTTTCTACAGCCCGAAGTCTAGCTGCTGTGCACCCTGAGGATTACACTACGTGTTTGTCGGTACATCAACACAAATCACCGCCAAGGCCTTCCATGGACACCATATAATGGTTACCACCTGAGAGGAAACGAATTCCTCTATAAACGTCAAGGAACAGGGCTATGCCGCGGATCAGCACCCTGGACGCGTCGAGCAGTGGCGATGTGGTAGGGGATGAGCGAGTCTAGGCGGGCGACATGCGACCAAGAAGAACCTTTGGGCCGCAGCGAACGGCCTAAGAAGCATGCGTGCTGCAACCGAAGTGGGGGGGCATGCAGCAGTTCTATGGCGGAGGTTGATCTCTTTCTACCCAGTAATCACCCTTGCTAATAGCTTTTCTGTAGTTATCGGTGGAGCAATCTGAAACAGTATATTGTAGTATGGTGTATGTCGCAAGCTTTTCATCGTTACAGTTGGCTTTAATACCGAATCACTTTGTAGCTCAATGTAATCATTCAAAACGTTTGTACGTCTAGACGACATTCTTGGATAGATGTGTTCAGGTGCGGGGCATACCGTGTGACCGGTGAAGCTACACGGCAGATCGGTGGAGAGCGGCAGAATGGCACTATGCAAGCCATGCCTGTCACCAGCCATCAAGTGAGGCGTGTGAGGCATTAACGCGGTCATGGTGTGCCACTGGTAAACGGCTAGCTTTGTTGTGGTTGCGAGCTTTGCGCAGACGCGTCTGTGGGAGCAACATTGCTAAACGCGCTGTAGGTATCGGATGTACCAAAACCACAAACAAAGACACTGCCGCCCACTCCCAAGGCTGTATCGTGCATTCGACGCGACACAATGCGGTCACGATACTCTGGTGGTGTTGACACTGCGTGACTGCCTTAGCCACAGACGCGCCTTCCGGCTAGCTATCGATAGCTGGGTCCAAAACAGCCTTCAACCTTCAAAACAGACGCGCATAGCCGGCACCAATGCAAGCACGGCATTTGTTGTTGTTGTGGTCCTCGAATCGCGACTCTCCAGAGTAACGTCCAGAGCCCACTGTGCGCACTAACAGACGCGTCGTGCCTGACTTACGGGATGAGTAACAGCCCTGCACGCGACGGGATCGCTGACCGCCAGTCGTGACTGTTTAGCCACAGCTTCCAAGACCCGGATGCAGACACGATGCAAGACTAATGCAAGCGCCGCATACACTATCCCGTGCATGCTTCGAGCCGGTTGGTCAGAATGCGTGAAACGTTTCAAGCCGGCTCCAGGCTGCAGCCCCACTCGACCACTTGGTCGAATCGTCGCGTCTAACACCATATATACACGTCTACCCACCGCGAGATGGTCGCGTTTTCTGATCAATTCTTCGGCTGCTTTGCGTTAAGAGTTGGGAATCCGGTGGCGGGCTCGTTGGCATCTAGGGGAACGACCTTTGACTCACACCTGCAGCTCACGTGTAGTAGCGTCTGGCCCCGCTTTGCAACCATGCACCGCGCTGTGGTAAATACAGCTGGGGACGAGGTCGTGGCTGGTCCCGTCGGATTTTCTGTTTCCTGAGGTTTCGCTCTTACTCTTTCGAATGCTGGATGTTTGAAACGACTTTTACGATTTACTTGAGATTTACCACGAGATTGATACCTTGAAGAATAAACGACCTTTTTACGAACCAACACTATTGCATGCGACCAACTCGACTATTACAACATGTACTCGCAGCGATCATCGCCACCGCCACTGAAACGCTCACATTCGGGTGAGAGCCAGAACAGCTATGCCAGCGCTGCGACAACAGTATCGCGCGCAAGCTCCAAGTTACTGTTTGGAGAGATCCCATTGACACCTGCGACGACAGTAGATGGACGATGTAAGTACCCCGTCGCAATGCGCGCGCTCTCATCCTAACGTCATGAAGCGATTCGTTCCAATGGCTCCATCTGCAACCTGGTCCTCTCCACAAGCTCAGTCTTCTTGCGCTTCTGGTTAAACGACGCCTGCCGCGACAACGTACTGGATCACATGGAAACTGAAGACCTGTCCAATTTCCGCCTTGTATGCCATGACTTTTCATCGAAAGCCGCGCCACGACTCTTTGAGAAGATGACCGTGACCTTCAAGACATCGACCTTTTCCAAGCCAGCGCGCATCGAAGCGCTATCGAGGATAGGCCGTCACGTCAAGACCTTTACCTTCCACATGCCACATGGCCCAGAGACCTGCTTGCCACCCATCATCGACCCGTGCACTGGCACAGAGAAGCAGTTCATCTACGAGCCCCAAGTCCAGACACCGCAACATGGACCGGCCAAAGACAAGGCACCCAAGTATGGCAGTTGGGAGATGCAGGACTTGCTCATCAAACAGTACCCACCACTGTTCCATGCCGCGACCAATGTCCCTGCCTTTTGCGCCGCCTTCTCTGAACTGATCAACCTCACGCATCTTAAGGTCTCATGTCCGGGATCTACTGGCTCACTTCGACACCGACGAGGTGTAGTCGACTATGCGCTCATCTCTCTCCGCATCGCTATTGAGCGCGCTCCATTGTACAGCCTCTCTGCTCTTTCCCTCCACCCCATCCACCCTGGTGGCCTCTTATACCTCCACCCCATGCACGGCTTCGGCAGCACACCATCCTCAGCCAAGCGCTGGGGTCAAATCCGTCGCCTCTCAATCTGCATGGAAAGCATACCCTTCAACTCAAGCTCATCGCGCACCCGCGCCCAATCTCTAGAACACCTCCGCATCCTACATGCCTACCTCGCCACACTCTCACGCGGCCTAACGCGTGTCTTCTTCCGCTGGAAAGGCGAGCGAGGCCCTTCACCCCTCTCACTCGACCGTGAACCTTGCATGCTTCCCAGCCGAGAGGAGTCCACCCACCCCTCTCTCCGCGGCCAAACCAATGGTCCCCGCCCCCTGAAGTTCCCTCGCCTCCGTGTCATGGAACTGGAAAACGCGCTCATGGACTCCGCGCAAATCAGCGACTTCATCACAAAGCACAAGCGCTCCCTCCGCGAGTTCAACTTCGAAGACGTTAAGCTGCGCGAGGGCGACTGGGATCTCGCGCTTGAACCTCTGACTACCATCTCAGGGAGTGATCGGTGGAAGCAGTACCAAGAAGAAGTCATGGATGTTCCCATTATGCTCTCGCCTATTGATGCCGAGCCGCGGGTCATGGGCCCGTTGCTTGAGGAGGTCGAACAGGCCATTGAAGAGGTTAGTGGAAAGGAGAGGAGAGAACATGCGCTGTCGAGGTGGTTGGGTAGACCACGACAGTCAAGTAAGAAAGATAGCTTCTGGGGTGGAGGCAAGAGGTTCCTGCATCTTTCGAGCTGGAAAGGCAGCTCGCCTGTCATGGTCAGGTGAAGTAGCTGTGCTTGTTTTCCTGGGTTCTTGTCTGGTACTAGGGAGTTTTGCTGTGGTATGTCACGGTTGATACCCCTCGGGCATGGTTTATGGCGTCTGCTTTCTGTCTTTATCGTTCTTGTTGTTGGGTTTCGGATAACGGCCTCTCATGTCCTCTCTTTTCGTCTTTCCTTTGTCTTGTCTTCCTCACGCTCTTTACGACTTCGACGTCTTCACGGCCTTTACGACTACTCCGAAAATCACGTTTGCGCATAGTTACGATGGTATGAGTAGAATAGTATGACCTTACGATCCTTCAATGACATTTCCTTCTGGTCCTTACCTTGTGTTTGCGCTCATCGCATCGGTTCAGTGTGATTTGGATGTCTACTTTGAGAGGAACCGACTCCAGGCTGTGCTCGTGCATTGCCGTACCTGCAAGGTGTCCGTACATTTGTTTACAGGTCATGTCCGCGCCTAAAGCTCAGTAAGTATAGCAGTGCAAGAATGTCAGTAATTCGCATCCGATTAGTCATTGAGCACACATGCATTAGAAACGTGTGTATTGAAGCAGACTCCAAGTATGTCGAATATCTGCTTGAAATGGTATACATATTCGACTCCAGCCTCGCATCTATAGCTTAGCCTTGTTCTGCACCTTCTTGAAGATAGGCTCTAGCTTCGTCGCGCTCATAACGTTTCCCTTGACCTTCAACTTCCCGCTCATAAACAGCTTCTGAGCATTCGCGTTGCCGGCCGCAAGCTTGCCAAAGTCCTCGTCGCTCAGCACCAGTGTGGCGGTAGCCTTCTTGCCCGCTGGAGCAGGGCCCTTGCCGACCGTGCCGGTCTCCTTGAGATCAAGGTACCATGTTTCTTGTGCGCCGGCCTTGTTCTTGAGTGTGAAAGCGAAGATGGCCTTGCCGTTCTTGATGGCGTCTTTGCGGTCGGCGTCGGAAGCGGAAAGGGCTTGCGCGATCTCGTCGAAGGCGGCGGAGGCGGGGAAATCGTCTAGACGTGTGTTAGTCACACTATTCTGAGGTTCCGTAGGAGGTTGTGAAGGCTCGTCATGTGCATACCGTTCTTGAGAGACATGTTGGCGATGTGTTGCTAGAGTGGTGATGCGCGTTCGGGGGAGATAGAGACTGATGGCGATAGTCGCTAGGCAGAAGAGGTTTGTGGAATCGGTGTCGCGAGTGCAGAACAGTCTGGGGTATATAAGAGCTTCGGAGGCTTGTGACAGCAGTGATGATGTATGCAGCTGCGAATCTGGGGAAGCATGTGAATGAGTGAGTGGGCCGAGACCCTTGAAACGATCATGCCGAGGCATAACCGCTTTTGGATGGAGCACGTGGACTAGTTCTTCGGCAGGCTCGCATCTCTTTCCTCAAACTACTTCAAAATTCAACGATCCCTAGCAGCGGACAATACCTTCAAGTTGCTAGGAGGTAAATTGAACTTATTCGCAGCGGCTTACTCTGTTGCATTTCGTCGCACCATTGCAGTCAATCTGTGTTTCCACGAAGTGCCATTGCTACGGCCTGATAGTTCTGGACGCTGGTGAGGTAGTTGCGGCGGACGTTGAGACCGAGCAGCTTGCGGCGCATCCACTTCTGCGTTTGACTCGACTAATGCTGTTGCATGAAGAGATCGGGATGGTTGCGCGTTATTACGTCGCCGCCAAGCTGAACACGTGATGACGTGGAACAACGCGCGCGCGTCTAAGCTCGACGCGTTCCCGTTCCCGTCTCCATCTCATTCCATCTCATCATTGCACCTTCTCATCAGCCACAACACTCAAACGCTCACTTACACTATGAAGAACGATATTCACAAGACATTCGGCGAGATCTTCGATGGCGATATCACGGCTTTCCGCAAGCAACTGCTGGAGATCCAACACATCCAAGCTGATCGGAAGAAGGCTGAAGACTGGGTATCGAAACTTCGCTTCTTAGATATTTCCAAAGTCCCAAACCTACTGGACGAGGAAGTCCAACAATATGTCTCCTACGAGTATCTCGATGACCCGTGGCTTGATCCAGAGATACCGTCGCATGAAATCCCTGTTACAGAGCGCGAAGATGACGACAGCGAGGTTGAATACATTGCTGTCTCTTGGAAGTGGGATGAACGCCATCATGGCCGTCTAGATTATGCAACCAAGCCACCTATCTTCGAATACCAAATCAAGAGACCTGATGCCCCAGCCCATAAAAGTAGCTTTCCAGGCCGCTATATGGATCGAGTAATTCGATTCGCCCAGAGCAAGAGCATCAACGCGTCCAAATTATGGATTGACAAGGAATGTATATATCAGAGACGCGAAGACGAACACATCTTCTCAGAAGACAAAGAGCTTGGTGTTCAGATCATGGACGTTGTGTATGGCGGCAGCACCTTGTCAGTTGGCTTACTTACGGTGGAGCTTGCACACGAGCACGAAATTGACCTCCTATCGAAGCTGCTTCAAGGCGAAATATTTGCCAATCCCAGGTCCCAAAGCTCGCCAGGACTGGGACCCGAAGTTGACAAGAGGGCAGTACAGATGCTCATCCTGCGTATCTTGAGCGATCCACGCTGGTCGCGCGGATGGATCTTCCAGGAAGATCATTTGGCTTCCCATCGGATGATCCTGCTGATACCATGTCCCCGAGGTATTCGCAAAGATCGCGGATACAACTTTGGTGATACCATGGGGGAATTACAAGTCAGACTCAAGGATTTCCGACAATCTGTGACCATGTTTTGCGAGGCCACCTACAAGGATCAAGGACGATGGCCGAATACTGAGTTTTTGGGAAAGGCAAAACAGTACAACATCTGCAATAAGCGCCTCGTATTTGGGGGACCGGGTATCCCTCAGGTCTCCCGGCGTCTTTGGAGGGATGATGCCAGCGACGAGAGCAACCCTAGAGTTGAAGCCTACCCCACCACCACTAACAGCGTACTGGAAGACATTTGCAACCGATCACTGGAGTATGAGGAGGACAGGATCGCCATTCTTGCAAACGCTTTGAGGTTCAATAAGCGACTAAACCTCGCAAAAGATTCTCCCTTGCTCGAGGTGGGCCAATACAGCCTCTCTGTAGCACTGCTCGCACTTGTGCTTATGAATGGTGAGATTCTGGACGATGTGTCGTTGCAGAAAGATCTGATGACATTCACATTGCAATCATATCTAGATGCATGTCAAAACAGATTCGTTGTTCCTAACCTCAGATACCGGCAGAGTTTCGTCGACCGTTGCCGTTTCAGGTCACCAATCATCACACCTCGTGGTCTTGAAACGAAAGGCTTCCTGTTCACGCTACTGCCTAAAAGGCCATCAAAGGATAGAGCACATAGATACAACCCTCTCCTCCTTACAACCTCGGATCGAAAAGCCCTGTCGCCAATGGGCGGAGGTCCAATGCTTGGAGGCAAGAAGCTGAACAAGAATGCACACACAGTATTGAATCTGGTGGTCCGGAAGCTGGAGGCACTATGGCCAGGTAGTAAGCTCGCCAGGCATATGCTGCGGCACTTATCCTTTGACCAACGTCAGCGACAAGGGGAAGTCGTACCGCCGTCTGCATCATATGTATTGGATATGATGTCCGTCCTTTATCAAGCTCTTTGTGAGGACGATCAAAAGCTACGTCTCGCGCGATTAGCTTCGGCTCCTTTCGACGGAGAGCCTGTTGCCATCTTTATTGAGCCGACGCCGGACGGCTGGATAATGGAGTCTCCAGACACCAAAACACAAGACGGGAAGCCGATTCTCGCCAACGTATTTACCAGCTGGGACGCCACGCGAAAGCCCTACAACAAAGACCGGGTCGTGAGCTTATCAGTCGCTATAGAAGATGGCAAGGGCACAAGACAGAGCTGGGACAGCCGGACTTGTTACATGGAAAATACGGGATGGGTACACGGAGTTTGGTGTGCTGCAGGCGAGGAAATGGCTGACTATGTATTTCCTCTGCCAGGCCTCACTGATCATCGCATATTCAAGGAACAGCCGGAAAGTAGTAGCGGAAGAAAGAGGAAGAGAGAGGTCGATGTTTGAAGGGTCCAGGAACCGAGGATCGACACCGCCCATGGCAATATGGAATCATGGCTCAGCAAGCATTGTCCTTCATCTTTTCTCTCGCAGTTTCCACGCATGCGCAGCCACAGGAGAAGGTTTGGTGCTGACTAGTCTAAACAAGAAGCAAACGAGCGTATCACTTGCTTCTTCACCGCTCTCCAAGAACCGGCACCGATCATTCAACCAAAGCATGTCTTCCCAGACTAAAAAGCTCGTCCTGAAATTCACTCTTACCCCGCTTACATACCTGTTCACTCACATCAACTCGCTCTTTCAATCGCAGCGTAGGGCATGGAAAGACTTCGCCGACAATGCTCCGGATCCTGCTCTTGTAAACCTGATCAATGGCCCCATGGAGGATACTGGAAGACTGCTGAACATGACACAAAACTTTCTGCGAAAGCTCATCGACTTGGCAGAGATCAAACTGAAGCAGGTAGAAACGGAAGCACAAATAGCCGGTGCAGAATGGCTCGACAACCCGACCGATCCCATGAACAACGCCAAATTCCTCATGGCGAGAAAGATTCATAGCGAATACGCAAAGCATATGAGGGAGGCTTGGGATGTTGGGTTAAAAATCATTCCTGGAATACAGGCGAGATTTGACGATATGGAGGATACGCTCGAGAAGCTCGCTGTGCTCATACCAATCGAGGAGCTGGCGCTGCCACTTGAGCCGTTCGTAGTCAAGGCATTAGAGATCAACGACAGGATGTGGATATTTGCAATCAGATTATTGGGCATCGTGCGGACGGTTGATATCCCCCTCGGTGTTGCGACTGTGGCTGTCAACGTCGAAAAGTACCCAGAAGCGGACAAACTTGCGCGAGCAAGATACAAATTTGGGGACTACTGAGTGTCAGAGGATGAGGAAGTGTCTGGTGCGTAAGTAAGAGCACATTAGTTCGTTGCGAAGGTCTTAGATCTAGGTCTTGAATTCGTAACATCGTGCGCACTGATGAAGCCCGCTAGGTCGCTTGCGCTGTCTAGTCTATAAATCGCCTTGGTCTATGCCCATCCAATTCTATAAAGATTATATCCGCTCTCGTCACCTCGTCCAATACCCCGTCTCTTCTCTACAAACTCTCTTTCCAGAATTCTGAATGTAAACCCGTCGTCGCTCTTCGGACAGAGCTCTGGTTCGAAAGCGGCTTCGACAGTATCGGGAATGCCCTCAAATTTGCCAGTCTTGCGCACTGTGACCATAAGCCAGAATACACCGTTCTGAGCCAGAAGATGAGCCGCACAATCACGTAGCCAAGCGGCATGTTCGGGAGCGTAGACCACGTCTGAGGCGATAAGAAGATCGGATGCTGATTCCATGTGTTTGGGAGGTTGGGCCCAGTCCAGTATTGCGGTATCTACAGGTGGTGTGTCGTATGAGCTCAAAGGGAAATTCGCCTCGATGTTTGCGTTGCAGTTCTCCAGAACCGCAGGGTGATAGTCTGTCGCCGTGATGCTGACAGGTCCAGCGCCGACCACAGGAAGCAATTTCGCTACTGCCAAGCTGACGAGTCCAGTGCCTGCACCGAGCTCGATAATTGTCTGCTTCCCCGCAAGACTGTCTTCAGTCAGTCCAAAGCGCTCTGGCTCGGCGCACATCATGCTACTGAGTACGATGCTGGCACCCCAGGACTGAAGTCCGACTGCTGTATGATCTGTACTCGACAATGGCGCATCATTGAGCGTGACCTTAACTGTATCTCCAGATGATGCGGGGAAGCAAAAGTCTCGTGTCAGCGCCTCTTCCTCTTCATCGGCATTCTCGAATAGGGTTGAAAGAATGAAGCCGGCGTCATCGACAAGCTTTTCTCGTACATCGTCATCGACTTCCATCTCTTCCGAGCGCGCGAGGAGCGAGTTGAGCCATTGGGTGGCAAAAGTGCGCTCGAATGGGTCTGCACGCAGAGCTGCTGTCACCTCTTCGGTTGTAATTTGGTTCTCATCATCTTCGCCTTCGTCTTGAGACGCGTAACCGGAATCCGCGGGTCCAGGGGGTGAGACGATAGATGTGTGCTCTCTTTTCGATGTCGGGTGTGAGATAGTAGTCGGAAGGCGTACAGGACAGTACAACGTCTGTAGGTTCTTAAGAGCGGCGAAGACCTGATCTTCCGATGCCGATAGCAGTGAACGAATAGGTGGTAAGCTGCTTGATGGTGGCAGACAACTGCCTGTAAGACTGACACTCATCTGACGCCTCGCTAACAAATGGACAGACCAAAGAACGCACACAGGGAAAAGGAATGTGGAGAGAAGAAGGAAAGAACTGGAGAAGACGTGGAGACAAGGGTTCAGTCAGAAAAATCAATCGGCCAAGGCAAGGGACAATTTGACGATACTTAGTTTAGCCTCACGCTCGGGCAAAGTCGTGACTTCTAGATCTTTTCACCGCCTGTCATCTGGCATCGTGGGCGCATGTTTGGATCCAAAAGGCAGGTGCACAGGGTGAGCTTGCTTCGTCGGACTAGCATATTGCATGCTAAAACCGTAGTACCCGTCACACTCGACATCTACAAGAAGGCATGCAGCACTGTGAATGGGCCAGCCGATACATCTAGGGGTAGTGATTTTTGCGTGGGACGGCTATTGCCACGTGGGTCGCTAAGCCGAGCCTCATCGACGCTAGACCACGCAAGGCATAGCTATCAGATCCAATGGTCAGAGACCCATCCTAGAAAACTTCGGTCAACACCGGCAAATACGAATTGTGCCGACGGAAATAGCCTTGAAACATCTTGGTATACTCTATCAGGAATCTCGCGCAACACGTCGATTGTAGCACTAGTGGCTTGGAACCGCCTTGTGGGCTAATGCCCAGGCTGCTCAGTCTCCGGCTACGCGGCCTTTACGATCGTGCTCTTTAGGTAGACAGTGATGGACAATCCTGCTCTCTTCCGATTACAACTCATTTCTCCACCATCTTCTCATCCATAGCCTCCGGAGGTGTATCCGTGCCTTCACCCTCCACAACCATCGGCCCCTTACCCGGCTTCTTCCTCCCCGTGATGTCCATGTATATCGACTTGAATGTCCTGACACTTGTTTTTCTCCCCTCCCAAAGCGGATATAACCCTACTGCGAAGCACGAGCAGAACATCCACAAAATACCCACAACAACCCATCCAGTGAAGAACTTCTTGCTGAAAATATACGAAGAACCGTACATGGGCATGGGCCACAGCACAAGGAAAGATATCGCCATGAAGAGCGTGAGCCAGCGCGCAATACGCGATGCTTTGAGTAATTTGGCTTGTTCCTCTTCGTCAGCTTCGATAGCTCGTCGTTGTTCACCGGGGATCCGTTCTAGATCGACGTTCGCGGCAAGAGCAAGATCGTGGTCGTCACCCCTGCGGATAGCCTTCATGCTCTGCCAATCGTAGTTCTGGGGTCCGAAAGCGTACGTGAAGACGGGGATGAAAACAATGGGAGAGAGGAGGGCGACAACGTTTCCTGCTAGCATAGGGTTGTTGGCGCCGGTAGTGAGCACAGTGAGTTCTCCACTCTCTTTCTGTGCGGTGACGAGCCAAGCAATAAGGGAGCAGGCGAAGCCGAGAGGTGGTGTGAAGGTTGCTGCGACCCAGTTCATCTTCGACCACATCAGCGTTAGAGTGGCGGGCAGGACAGCGGACGAGATTATGACGCCCATGAGGAGATATAGGTAGCCCATGCTGATGCCGATGTAGTAAAGCCCTGTACTCCAGGCTGCCATTGCGACAGCGAAGCCGACAACCATGGTGTGAGACATGTAGATGAGTTGTTTCCCTGTAGCTTTAGGGTTGACATAAGTCTATGTTTCGTCAGCTCAATAATCCGCTTTCATGACCAGTAAAGTCAAGCTTACCTGGTAGAAGTCATAGGTGAAAATGGAAGAAACGGCAATCAGCTCAGCAGACATGGCGCTGGTCACAGCCATGAAGACGAGAAGCAGAACTGCAGCCGCTCCTCCCGAACCCATCAGGGCAACAGCGGCCGTGGGCAACACAAGCCCAGCCGTCACATCAGCATCAGCCATGCGGTTAGGATAGCCGGGGAAAACAGGGTTGTTCTCCAGGGCGATCGCGCTGAGACCCATCGTGGTAGCGGCTAGCCATGGAATCGCGAACCAGGACAGACCACCAATGATATATCCGGGAAGAGCATCGACGGGGCTGGCAGCGATGGCTTTGTTATAATATCCGTTGTCGCAGAACACAGTACCAAAGTTGCCCACGATGTTGATCACGAAGAAGATTGCACCTTCTTTCGATCGCATGGTTAGGTAAGAGCCTCCGGCGTTCCCTTCGACTGGGTGATCCGATGCGGCTTGTACCAGTAGATCGAAGACTTTCCCAGGGCTTCCGAGATTCTCGTTGGTCGCATATGCGGTGAAGGCAAACATCAAGAGGATGATCAGAATGACAACAGTGTGTGCTAGAGGTAATCTTAGCGACTTTTTGCTGCAAATGTAGAAGAGAGTAACTTACCATAGTCAGTCAAGAAAGTGGCCTTGATGCCTCCAAACATGGTGTAAAGAACTACACCAACAGGTAACAGGAAGCAAGCAGCAGCAGTTGGCATGCCGGTGAGCTTGAGTAGGTTAGTACAGATATATCATTCGCCGCGTTTGACGTACCGAAGTCACAACAGCGGAGCCTCCAGTCAACAACATCGAAGTGACAAGGATGTTGGTAAAGAGACCAAAGACCATGAAAACGACGTGCGTGACTGGACCGTATCTGGCTCGAATAACCTCAAGGAAGGTATGTGCATTAGGTGCTCTTCGTTTCAGCTCGATAGCAATCGTAGCAAATAAGATGATCTGCACAGTCGCTCCCGAGGCGTACCAGAAGGGGCCAGATACTCCATACCGGTAGGCGACTGCGCTCGATTGGAGAAGTGTTGCCGCCCATGTCCAAGATGATACTACGGCTGACGCGACAAGTCCTGATTTTACTGTACGACCAGCTGTCGAGAACATCTCAGAGGTTTGGAGTTCATAGTTGTATCTCTTCAGTACGAATGTCGTCAAGATCATACCGAAGCTTTGCCGAGTTAGTAATGCCCATGTATGGGGAATGTAAGACCTACGAGAAGGCAAAGCCTAGACCGATCACAATGCCATAGCCAAAGCCTTGGCTTAGCGGCGGAGGTGTACTCATGCTGGGTGAGTTAAAGACACCTCAGGTGACGAGCAGTTGGCAAGTGGAAAGTGCGATGTCAGAGGGATGCCGGAAGTTGATATATGATTAACCTTACTGCTTAGCTTCGCTTGGGAGATTTTGCAGAAAGCTTCGGTCATGATCTGCCGGCATACGACCTCTAGGAGAGGGCTTTAACCATGATAAAGCAAGAGCATTACCGTTCATCGGCCGGACGCATAGGGCAGGTATAGCCAACCGTAGGGCTAGCGTGCATATTCGCGGATAATTATTAAAGGTGACAACGATCACAGCTCGACATATGCATGGTTCTGCAGGCTTTCGTGGGGTTGGGCAACAGGAGGATGCACACCATGTGCGGAAACGATCTTCCAACCCCGGTATGGTCCGATAACGCGGCGGAACAATGCAGATAAGATGCGAACTCTTGTGTGGCATCTTTTATTCACAGCCAAGCTGCGACCAATCGCAGGCCTGCACGGCTTCGAGATCGTTGGGTTCAGGCAGCTGCTCGCGGCTGTCCAAACGCGGCTGTATATCGCATCGTTGAATGCATTGCATTGCGAGAGGCAAACGCCGACGATTTCGCAGCCTTCCAGCCATGAATGTCGAAACTACCAAGGCGAAGGTTTGTAAACTCGATGGCAAGATGCAGGAAAGTCGTTGGAACACGGAAAAAGCACTCGTCCAGCATCTCTTCCGTCAAGCTTCCAGCGGCAATCTTAGCAGGCTCGCTTAGTTGCCCGTCGCGACGCGTCATTGGCTGTTCAGCATCTCTTATCTTCCTGGCGGGATTGGCAGCCCCAGATGCCACATCGCGTTGGGATCACGCCGTCAGCGGGGATTATCGAGTGCAATCGGTCTGTGCGGGTCGGCAGGCGTTCGATCTTGCCATTCAACGGTGTGGCATAGCACCTACTAGCGCTCTTGTATGCGAAACGTACCCTTCTCTTCGACGTGTCGCTAATGCATTGTATAGCTGGCTCAGCATGTGGTGTGCGATCAGCGTAGAGTACTGGTCTTGGACTTTGAGAAGGAGCGAGCGTCATGGTATCGCAGGCGGTCTTTCCATTGACAAAGCTGGCACGGGCTTGGCGGAGCAGGAATAAACATCAACACCGTAAACCTCGACCTTGCATCGTCGCATTTTGCGACTCTAATGAGATATATGGTGGTCGAATAGCCTCGCACAAACATTGGTATCAGAGCTCGTAGTTTTTTCAAGTCCACGAACGCTGTCGTGGCCTCAGCACGTGCTCATCAGCAGCCGCCCAAGACCCATCCCGAAGCTTGAGCATGGGAAACTGTGAAGATATCATTATCCCTATGATACTCTTAGTCGCCGATACGCCGCAGAGGCTGACCCGTATCGCAAGCGAGATTGCTGTGTCGTTCATGTTGGAGAGACTGCCCTTCTTGCAGACGCTAACCGGATTGAGGCAACATGTCGTGAGTAAAAGGGCGACGCCAAGGTAGAGCCTGCGTCCAAGGGCGGAGTGCATAACCCATCTCGTGTCCACGTTTAAAGTCATCATCACGTCCCACGGTCAGAGTTTTGAGAAAGAGGTTTGAAGTGAGAGTATTGATTCTTCATCAAATCCATGTACTACTGTGGGTATCTCGTACACCAAAACTGGCTAAACATAATATTTTAGGACCACCAAACAGCGACTCCTCAGCAATGCAACATTTCATACATTTCCCGCTCCAGGCCTACGAGCCTGAGCTAAAGTTGGATCCGTCTAGAACGACAAGACCAGCGACCGTCGCACTGGACAGAGTGGAGAAAACACCTGTAATGAGAGCGGACATTGCGAGACGCGATACGTCACCGCTGCGGCCAGGACTAATCTGACTGAGCACACCGATTTGTGTACCCAGGGAACCAATGTTGCCGAAACCGCAGAGAGCGTAGGTAGCGATAAGGCGGGAGCGTGGGCTCAGGTCGTGGTAGGGGGACGCGGGGTCCTCGTCGGTGAGCGATTGGAACGCAACGAACTCGTTGGTGATGACCTTGATACCGATGAGACGAGCGACAAGAATCAGATCGTTGCCTTGACGCGATACACCGAGGAGGAAAGCGACAGGGTACAAAAGGTAACCGAGGATCAGCTCGAGCGTCAAGTCGTAATCGCCGTCGAGGTTGATGTAGCGTCCCCACCAGGTGAGCAGACCGTCGACCAGGTTGAGAAGAGCGATAATACACAAGAGCGTAGAGACGATCATACCGGCGATCTTGAGACCGAGCCAGGCACCGTTGGCAAAGGCGTGCAGGGCGTTGGCGGCCTTGTGCTCATCGTCGTCGGGCACGACAACGCGACCGGCGGTAAGAGTCTCCTCAGTCTCCGGGTATCGCAGCTTACTGAAAGCAAGCGATGCAGGGATACTCATGACGCAAGATGAAATCAGGGCTTGCGGGTTAAGGCCCATACCGATGTAGGCCACCAACACACTACCGGCGATGGTAGCGAATCCAGAGCACATGACCTGGTGCATCTCGGCCATGGTGAGATGAGCAACGAAGGGCTTAATCAACATAGCAGATTCACCCTGGCCGATGAAAGGAGAGGCAGACGCGACCACGGCCTCAGCACCGGATACTCGCATGGACCAGAAGAAGAAGACGGCGAATTTGCCAATGAACCACTGGAGAATGCCCCAGTAGTACAAGAGCTGGACGAACGAGACGAAGAAGATAATGGCTGGGATGACGCTGAACATGAAGTACGTGTTCTGAGAGATCTCTGGGGTGGTCAAGAAAGCGACACCATCCCTAGCGAAACCCAAGAGCAGGCGAGCAAGCTCAGAGATGAAGTTGAAGATGTCGTATCCAGCCTTGGTACGGAGAACGAACAGCGCGATGATGAACTGCATGAGCATACCGACGATGACCGTATGCCATACAATCTTGCTGCGGTTGCGGGAAGTCGCCCAGAACATGAAGATGAAGACGGCGAGACCGAACAGCGAAACGGCCCGGTTTGCGCGGGTGTTGTCCTCGCTCTCTTCGCTGGCGAATGATCCGACAATGATGACAGCGATGGCAAGGCAAGCAGCGGCAGGAATGCGCATCTTCTCCGGGATGAGGTTGGCAATTCTCGTTCCAGTGTTGGCCCAGACCCAGTGCATGGGTTTGGTGACAATGGTGATGGGAACGTGCAGAGTGATCAGGCGGATCATAATGGCCAGCCAGAACAAGAATGGAATGATCCAGTTCTTGTCGTTGCGGTGCACGACTACACTGGCAATCCACCATCTGATACTGTTAGCCCAAAGCACTCGAGACGATGGACGTGGAAATGCGCCTTACCCGGTGAAGAGCGCTCCAATGAAGATGTGGACAGGCAGTCTGAAAGTCCGGTAGAAAGCACTAAAGGAAGTGTACCAGGGCTTCTTCTCTGCCTCCATTTCGGGATCAGAAGAGCTGCGCGTAGCCTTCTCGACTTCATAGTCGTAGCCACCGGCCTTCTCAATGTCATGCTTCTCGTTGACAGAGTGGCGCTGGTGGAGGTTGGTGCTGTCAACACCAATGGGCGTGAATTGGCTGGCGCTGTCAAGACCACTGGGCCGGAACAACTTGCTGGTCGGCTCGTCTGTGGTTCCGGTGGTGTAGACAACGTTATCAGGGTGGGCCGCACGCGCGCTGTGGTGCACGTGTTCGTGGTGGTGCTCGCGCGCAATGTCTAGCGCCGGGTCGTCATTGCGGGCGACACCGGGCATTGGTGAGCCGTTATGTTGGTCGCGGATATCAGCCATGGCGACGAATAGGCACAAGGACAATTCCTGAACAGAGGTTGAACGACGAGGAACTGTTGGTTCTCATATCGAGGTCGGCCCTCGCGGAATTATATTTTCGCACCGTGGCACGCGCTACCACCAAAGTGGAGGGATCGCACCGTCGCTGGCCCAGACAAACAGTTGAACGGGCTCCAGACGGTCACTTGGCAACTTCCTCTTTTGCACTGGCTAGAGCACAGTAGCACAGGGTTCCATTGGCTCCCGGTCGTCTCCGCTTTCTGGAATATCTACCGTCTCATGTTGGTGCTCGCTTACTCGCTGTTCACACGCCTGTCTCTTGTGTCAACACGACCCAGTACCGGCCGACCTACCGCGCTTCTGCAACCCGGACCAGGTTCTTATCTTTCCCCAGCATTGATAGCCTGTCCAAGCGCCAATCACGGAGATGAACGTGCTGGAACGCCCGCCCAGTCCGTGATAAGCGGCGGCGAATATGCGCCCCTCCTCGGTTGAGGCTCTGTTTTGGGCTTCGCGTGGCGTTCTCGAAGCAACACCTCTGCCTCGACAACCCGACCTCCATCGTCTTCCCCGAGGTCGACGATTCCGCTGCCCTGGGTCATGTGCAGAAGCAATTGCCAGGGTCTCGCAGCAATTACACAGGCACAGGGGCGAAGACAGCATCTGCGAACCGTCGCTGAATTTCGCCTGTACTTTGTCTTTGTGGACCCTCCGGAATGCAGATCAGACCGGGTACTCCGTCTGACGCAAGGAGACCAACCCACTCCTATCAGTACGCTGCAGCGGGACACGCGCGAACGCCATGGTAGCACACGGCGTGCGCCTCCATCAGCGAGTGTTGGATTGGTGTCCCTCAATGCTATCTGACCAACGGGTCTCGACCAGCGCTATCACCATCATTCCGATAACCAGGTCTACGCTAGGGACGCTGGACCATCGAGCGCGCTTGTGGTGTCCTGCAGCTGAGGGAAGCTGGGGTTCTTATCACGAGGGCACGCATCGAGATATATGCGCCGAATCATGTCGCGGACTTCGCCTGTGTATACACTTTGGATAGCCGCTGTCTTGGCTGGCCGAGCGATCCTGACATGCTTTTGGACGCCAGACGCATTGTAATGAATGCCGTTCAAGATCCGCAGGTGGCCTTGGAGCTAGCCTTGTCCCTTCCCCGCAGCGGGCCCAGCTCCATGCGGTAGCACATCGTGTGGGCTGGCATCATTTCGAGCTGGACTGCGAAGCCAGCCCTCCCAAATTCCTACTTCACAGGGCTCATCACATGGGAAAATGTCTGCTTCGCGTTGCTCCAACTTAACGTCTTACGCTGCACTAGGCCAAGTCGTCGGCACTTCTCCCATGTCAGGCTTACCACCCCACCCGCGGCCAACCGAAAGGTTACAATTTACTGTACCTAATCATACTCTACGTGGCGTCTGCTAAGAGCACAATCACGGAATACCAACAACTAAGAGGCACAGCCATCCGCGGAGCCTCCATTCACTGATTACATATGTTCGATTCGAAGGATCATGGTCGATGCAGCACCTTATTCGCAATCCGGAACACTTACTTTTTGCATCCGTGCTGTCCGTCATCTCGGTCAGTTCCTATCAGTGTCTGGGAGAGAGTCTCCACTTTCCGAGACGAAACACGGGTGAAATATACGTGTGTGTACACCACGTCAAGCAAACACGAGCCTATACATCTGCGCTATTGCGTAAGGCCTGTCTATTGGTGTTAGGTGCAATTCACAGCGAGATCACGATTGTAATCGTAAGTTTGCGAAGCACAATCCGGGACTGCCGGAGCTCATTTAGGTACACCCATCAGCAACAGGAACCCCCAGATCTAGTGCACAGCTCCATGTAGGGGCTGTGAATTGAATCGCTCCACACGCTTTCTTTTGGGCAAGTGATCTTTCTTTCCAATTGTTGTGCTTGCACTTGATCAAATCACAGTTCCTCGAAACACGATCAGCGCAGCCTTCGAACGACCTTAGGCTACTCTCGCGTGATTTATCCCAACGAGCTTAGCATCCTCATGCTCTTCGTCCACCGCACTGCAGCTCATACTTCCTAGCGCGCACTGCACACGCCTCCTTACCGTCCACAAAGCTTGTTCCCTCGCTTCTGTGTCGTGGCTGTCACATAGACGACCACTATACCCCGTCGCTAAACCGCGAAGCCTTGTCCAAACCTCATCAACCGAGTACATCAACCACTACGGACGCCACAATAAGGTTACGGGACACGACATGTTAGCATTGTGCGATTGTACAAAACATATTTGGCCCACGGCTACCTACTTTCGTTTAGGGTGATCACAGAATCTGGTCCCACGTACCTAGCCTTGCGAAAGTGTGCTTGGTGCTACCGCGTGCTAACCCGTGATGTGAACCTCATGCGGAGAGCAAACACGTAGTCACATATCTTGTAATGTGAACAGTGACGAATCGAGAATGTGCTCGACATAATGGGGAAGGCCTGCTCGCATAGCAGATAGGCCACATGGATAAATCAATATTCCATCATCGGTCTGGGACTTCATCACACTCTGCGCCTTTATGTGATTGCTGAACGAGATGTTCACAGGTACGCTGCACACCCAGCATCTCACTGCATGTTCTTGTGAGATGGGTATGAACAAGTGATTCGAATACGTAACGACAAAGGGTATAATCAGCCCGACCGAACCCTTAACCAATACTACCATACCATACACCTTACACCGTACCCAATGCCGCTAAACAACAAGCCTGTTGATGATGATAATACAAGTTGGCATAACCCACATAACAAACGCCCCCTATGCACGGCGAAATCAGAGTGATCGGACCCCAAACCTCTTACTTGCCTGTCAACTCGCCTTCCAGATGCTGGTAGTTTGTTAGTCATGACGTTGCTGCGCCAGGCACGAGAGTGTTGAATACTTACCGACCACTCTGGAATGTCACGTATTCGCTGCCACATATATCTTTCCAAACGATTCGCCGCCTTTGCGTAGGGCGTGCTTTCATTGTTGTACTTGCGGCAATTATCGAAGATGAGCTTGGCATCTCTGATAAAGTCCTCGGGGGTAGGATAAAGATCCTTTTCGTGTTTCTCTTCCATAGTCGCGAGATCCATGGGCTCTTTGATGACGTCGTAATAGTCAAGCACCTCATCCTTATTGACGGGCTGTTGGAACGGCCAGGCGTTGCTGTTGTTCTGCATGTCATTGAGGAGATGGAGAAGGGCATTGTAGTTGGGCCCGTGGCGGGGCGCGCGAGCGAGTTCGTCCATAACAGGTGACCAGCCGGAGTTCTTGATGGCGGGAATGGTCAAGGGGTCGATGGCTTTCAGTTCGCCCTTTGCCCATTGCGCTGGCGGCGCGTGGACTTCGTAGCTCTTGCTCACGGCCCTAATCTTGGCGTTTGCGCATTCCTTCTGCTTCAAGAGCATTCTGCCGCTTTCCAAGTATCTTATCTTGGGCACCATGCTACACTGCATGATGGTGCCGCCTTCGTAGTCCTTGATGTAGCCCATCCATCTTGACTTTTCCAGGGTAATCTCCTTGGTGAAGCCTTGTTTTTTGAAGTATCCGATGGCATAGTTGTCGGCGTAGGTCAAGAAGTGCATGACCTGCGAGGTGGCTTTGACGTAGTCTTTGAGATGGGACATGAGATGGGCACCGTAGCCCTTGACCTGTTGATCCGAGGAGATGGCGCAAAAGACGATTTCGGCGAACTGGCCTTTGTCGAAGGGACGGTATGTGATGCCACTGGAACGTTGTATTGTCAGCGTCTGGCCAGACATGGGACGAGAGCCTTTACATACCCTACCACCTCGAGGGGATGTTTCACGATGGCTATGCTCAGATGGGTCCTGTCGTAGACGAGGCGCGCAATGTAGTCCTTTGGCATCTTGGGCAACTGTTTCTGGAAGATACACTTCAAGCCTGTCAAGATGATGGTGCTCTCCCTCTCCCCATCATTGTTGACCACTCTGAATTCAATCTCCCCATTGCGCTCTTCTATGACGGCGGGCTTCTCGGGGAATGGCACTATACGTTTCACGGGAGGCGCGGGGGCATCGTCGGCAGCAGAAGGTGTCGAGGGATCCTGCTTTATGCGCTTGGGAGAGCCGTTGGGAGGGTCGGTCGTCGCTTTGCGCTTAGCTTCAGCGCGAGACGGGTTAGCTTGTAGTTCGCGAAGTCGTGCGTTGGAAGAAGACTGCCGGGTGTGTCGGCGAGGTATGGGGGGAGGAGCGAGCAGTGGTGAAGTTGGGGGAGAGGTGGGATAGCCCAACACGTCGCGCAACTGCGGGATGTCGTTGCGGGGAGACATGTCGGGCTTGTGGGTATGATGCACGTCTGTTGACGCGCATGGAGCTGGAGAGGGCATGCGCACTTACTGTCGTCGGTCGCGCCCGCCATGTTGCAGTGTAGGGCGCCTTCTGTGTGCCGTCGCGCCTTCTCTCAGCCCTGTGCGTGGTGTTGACTGAATGTCGGGGAAGTTGCGCCTCCCGCGCTAGTCGCCCCACACCAATCACGGCCGATCACCTGCGAGTGAACACGAAAGGCCACCAAAGCAGCTTCACGAGAGAGAGACACTTACATAGCCCAATTGCACGCCTGCACACATGTCGAGCCCACTTGTAGACGTCTGGGAGGCTGCTGCGTCCTCGCCCTTCAGCCCTGCCGTCGGAAAGAACACGCAGTTCACAGTCGGCTTCGTGCTGCTGGCCATCTGTATGTTGGAAGCTCTGCTGCTTAGTGGACCTCTGCTAACAACGCGCGCAGCTCTCATCTTGACTACCATCTTCGGCTTGAGTACGCGACATAGCCACGCCCCTCTAGCGAACCCTACTCATGCGCACACAGACCGCTCCTTCATCAACCTCCCCGTTCTCGGTGTTCCCGCGTCATTAGCATTCGGGTACGTGGCCTCGGAAACCCAGCTACAACATGCGCCCACTGACTGCAAACAGCTTCGGCGCCGTCTACATGATCTGCGCAGTCGGCGTATACGTCTAGTTTCCTACTTCTCCATCCGGCGTTAGGGGCATACTGTGTACAATTTATGGAATACCAATAAAAGTTCAAGACTCTCGAATCTACCTGCGCGATAGCCCGTACCCTCACACTCACAACACAGCACCATGGACGAAGAAGAGCCCCCAATCCTCACGGCAGTGTCAAGCTCTGCGCGACAATTGTACCTGCTCCTCCGCTGCATCGCCTTCTCCAACAAGGCTCATGTCCACATCAGCGACATTGGCATGAAGCTTGCTGTGGATGAGGCGAGCGTCATGGAAGGTACGTAGCGTCTGGATACAATGTATTTTTGCACATTCCAAATCTGACACGACTACAGCATCCGCCTTCCTCGACAAGTCTCTCTTCACAACCTACACCTTCAATGCGCCCGCCCCACCGCCGAACTCACAACACTCCGACAGCGAAGATGAACTCGACCCAACATCTACTACCACTCCCGCGTTTCAAATATCTCTTCCCGCTCTCCTTGAGACCCTCCAGATCTTTGGCCTCACCGACCCCTCCACTTCCAAACCCCCATGGGCGCGCGATGGTGCATATCCCACTAGCACAGCCTTCACTGGAAACAACATATTAGGCGGCATGAACAACCTTTGTCGGATAAGCTATCATGGCCCCGGTGCTCCACTGGCCGTCACTTTGACAGAGGCGAGCATACGCACGCAATGCGATCTCACGACGTACGAGCCAGAGTACACAGACGAAATACCTTTTGATCGACAAGCCCTCGCCCTGAAAATCATCATGCGAGGCAGCTGGTTGTATGACGCAGTACAAGAGCTATCATCTACAAGCCCAGAGAAGCTGACCATGTACGCCAAAACCGTGCGCGGCAAACCCTTCTTCGCTCTATCGTCATCAGGCACTCTAGGCTCAGCGCGCGTCGAGTTCAACAATCAGCCCCAACCCTCTGCCTACCGCACTCCTGCGTCCACGAACCTCAACACGAACAATGAGGCAGCAGATCAGAAACCTACCAACCTGCTCGAGACCTTTCAGCTCAGCGATCCACAAGCTGTTCTCCGCTCATCCTACAAGTTTAGCTTGATACAAAAGGCCGCGCGCGCCATGAACGTTGCGACTAAAGTCAGTATACGAGCAGATACCCAAGGCGTGTTGAGTCTACAGTTCATGATTGAGGTCGAAGGCAGTGGGTCGGCTTCTCAGACTGGACCTGGAGGGGCCACAGGCGGACAAGTGAGTTTCGTCGACTTTCGCTTTGTCCCGCTCGTGGAAGAGGATGACGAGGAGGCTGAGGGCGCAGACGTTGACGAGACCCTGATGCACAATGGCACAGGAAGCGATGGCGAGAGTGGCGCTGACGATATGCTATGAGAGTACGATAGGCATCACTACTGGTAGAAAACAGGGAGCTTGAGCTCAGCATATGCCGATTTTGCTAATTCTTGTATTTGCTAGTCTGTCCAGACCCGAACAGAGTAGGAAATGAAATCCACAATCTCTTCTGTGATGAAGCAACCAAGAGCCCTTGTTTGGCAGCCTCTTACTTGGAAGTCCTGACGTTTTGCTGTGAACATGGCCCCGAACTCGACAATTCCTTCTTTTACTCAAGCTGAAAAACTCCACCTGATGAAATATAATCCTGCCATGGAGCCCGTACGCCTGTGCTTGGACATGTGAGACCAGCCAAACTTCTAGTCCTGACATGAATGCAAAATCAATTTGAATAGCGTAAACTAGGAGTACTCAGGACGCCCAGTCGTCCTTTCCATAGTTCTGTGTAATGCGTCATGGGAATCAGCTTCTTTCTTGTTTTCTTCTTTCTCGAATGTCGCGCGAGGCCATAGTATCCAATCTGATGCCCGTTATCGATGTTCGTATCGAGCCGCTTTGTCGTCGCGAAGGGGGGATCGAGCTTGGTGAGTCGTGTATCAGGCGTGCTAGACTCGCGTCTCGATCGAATGGGATTCGTGCGCTGCACGGAGCGACTTAGAACTCGAGTTCAGCTACCACAGGCATTAGCAATGGGTGGCGAATGTTCACCATTCGAATTCACCATTTGCTTTGTGGAACAGATATCTTCCAAAGCGTTAGCAAAATCTCTTCAAGGTCTCAACACCCAACTTACTCCTTCTTGTTCGTGGTCAAGATGCCGTCCTTAAGCGTGCACTTCCACTTGTTCTTCACGCGCTGGACTTTGTCGTAGGTGCACAACATATAGTCGACCATTTCATCGTCGCTGTTATCGCCATCCCCGAGTTCGTCCTCCGAGTCATCTAGGTCAGAGTTAATGGCATCATCCGGATCTTCTTCTGGCTTCACATCGTCGTCACCGTCGAAGCGCGCGGGAACCGGTGCGCTTGACGAGGCCTCTGCGTCTTCGGCCTGCAGGACACGCATAGCCGCCTTGCGCTTTCTGCCCTTTGGCATCGAATCGAGGGGTACCATGAGACCACTGTCCTGACGCATAGCCATGGCATCAACGCGAGAACGCATGAAGTCGTCCGCCGCCATGCGCTCTACTGCATCAGCAGCGCGTGCGGCCTTCAAGGCCTCCCAGTCAGCCATAGCATCACCCGAACCATCAGTCTGTGAGGTGTACATATGATTTTGCGGTGGGGGACGCTGCTGTGGCATTCCCTGCTGCTGTTGTTGTGGAGGTCGTTGATGCTGCTGCTGCTGTTGTTGTTGTTGTTGTTGTTGTTGTTGTTGTTGTTGTTGCTGCTGCTGTTGCGCCATCATGCGTTGCTGTTGCTGCTGTTGCTGGTTCTGCATAGGCATTTGAGGCAGATGGCCCTGTTGCGCCAGATTGGGAAAGTTCTGCTGCACATGTCCTTGCTGTTGCACTCGCTGCTGTACCAGAGCAGCTGCACGCTGGTGCGCGAGCTGCTGGTTTTGATCATAAGTACCGCCGTAGCCGTTGTTCGCAGTCTGAGCAGGAGGGTAGTTAGCAACTGGTGGCTGGTATCCTCCTTCTTGCTTCACGGGCACGTTGGGGAAGTTGAGAGCCTCCTGAGGTCCGGACACGGAAGGCATATCATTGTCAACCTTTACGTTGGACGGTACCGTAGGCGGCTGACGAACAGGCTCAGGAGCAGGGTCCCATGGGAAGTGAGCAATCTTGAGAGCGGATAGCCTCTCTTGCCAGCCCTAGCGATAGTCAGTATATGCTCAGCACAACTTCAACAAAACATGATGTGAGAACAACCGTCACATGACAGACTATGCCTTGTTGGGAAATGATGCGTTGGTCTTGGCGGGTGGGGGAGCTGTGCAGGGGCTATAAGAAGGCATCTCAAATACTGAGGCGCCCCCGGAGCTGCCAGACCGACCGGCAACTCCGCCCCGCTTCCAGCCGCCCATCACCCAAGCCAGGCGGTCACCGCGCGATCGCCGCAGCCAGCGAAACCGATGCGAGAAATGAATTGACAAGAAAAGTGAGAGATATAAAAGCGGTGTGACGGCAGTCGCAGGTGTGCTGCGACAAAGAAAAGGATGGCGCGCTGGCCGAGATGGAGGCCAGGTTGCAACATACCTGCTTCATCTCGTCGAGCGTGCTATGATCGACGCCCGACTCCTCGAAGTCATTCTGCGAGGTCTGGATCACCTTCTCGATGATCTGCTGGTACACGCCGCCCTGGTGGTTGCTGTTAGCAAGCCTGCCTTTACCCATCCACCGCTCGCATGCGCGCCTTGGGGATACTAACCACGACCGAGTTCGACATGATCGCGACTGTTTGATATGGTCTGAGCTATCTAGTATACGATGCGGGCTCTGTGATAGCTGCGCGACGGCTTGTGATGGTTGCTCGCGTGCAGAGGATTGAGGAATAGGCAGGCAAGCCAGGCAGGCGACGTCAGCGCTTGAGGCTGCAGAGAGGTGCGCGCGCTTGAGGAAGCTTCTGCGCGGTCAAGGAAGTTCTACGGATATCGCTAGCCCAGACGGAAGGCTTTGTACGACGTGTTCGGGTGCCCTCAGCTTTCGGGGTCGTGGGTGTATGAGTGATAGTGAGCGGCGTTCCGGCAATCATTGAGGGCGCCGGTTCCTTAGCGCCTAACGCTACTCTAGCGCCACACGTGACCACGCTCACAGCTCAACATCCAAAGATCGCGATGCAGCGTTCTGGCAGATTCGAAATATAGTAGTGCTCATGATCAATATACATACGAATCGATTCAAATGTTGGTACAAACGTCGTCAGTTCATCAATTGCACCTCAAACAGCCAACTGCATCCCATAAGAAGCAAAACTCCCGCCACTGCACTCGAATCGCACCTGGGTATCTTGGCATGCTCCTCGCAATCGCTACCGGCTAATGGTCATGCACCAAAGCCTTTTGTACCGCTGCATCGACGTCCTTGCGCCGATACCCCGGTGATCGCCCGAGACACACGCCGTGTATAATGATCTCTGTAGTAATAGTCAGCCAACTGTTGACCTCGCGTGAATGTGTACACTCACCATCAATCAGCTTCGAAACGTCTAGCCAGGCAGTCTTCTTCCGTTTCTGCCTCACCACTGGTAGAGCTGCCGCTACATCGCTCATCATGTTCATGCCCAGATCTATGTTGTCCATGTGAAAGGCGGGTGTATGCGAAAACCCATAATCATACCCAGGTGCGAGATCCAAACCCAGGGTCTGATCATATGAGATTTCGTAGTTGACAAGCCTAGGGTATTCACCGGTGTTCCCAAAAGACAAGTCTAGCCCATAAGCTCCACTATCCGCGATGTTGTAAGAGTTGTTTGGCGGATTTGTCGAAGTGGTCGACGGAGCTGCCGATGCGTTTGCGGAGTTCTGGTGAAGAGGAGGCAGACTCGTCGCGTTGTGCGGCCGTTGCCGTAGTGCACTATTGGGGGCTCTGGACAGTTCTTCGTCGTCAACGTCGATAACACACTCGGCGAACGAGCTCTTCGGGTCGAGCTTGCACGAGTACTTTTCTTCCAAATAGCCCTGTACGTCGTAACAGTCGAACCATTCCCCCTCGTATCCACGGAGGTCCACGCCGCGTAGCTCTTCACTCCTACCGTCTTCTGTATTCTCTATTATGAGCACCTTGTTCTCTGTTGGCCCAATTTGCCGTACGTTCCATCCGTTTCTGACAGACTTCACGTTGCCAGCAGCGTCCCGTCGCGGATAATGAGTTCCTGCACCACCGAGATGAAGGAATGGCGACTCCCACCAATCCAGGTCTTCGTCAATGCCACGGGCCATGATAGTTCGGAAGCGGCTTCGTATTTGATCGAGGGTCTCATGAGGTAGAGAAAGCTTAAAGACACGGTTGATTGCCTAGCTGTCATGATTAGCCTTGTATCACTACTGGAGAAATGACAGTGAAGCCAAAGAAACAATTCCTACATCGACTAGCTGAAAACGTACCGTAGGGCGAGCTTGGGCGTTGCTAAGCAAATGGAACCCCGCCTCAAGCGCCGCCCTCGACAATCGTCTGGCAAATGTTGTTTCTTGGAAACTGTACGTTGTGACCGGAGGGAGCGTCTTCGACGTTAACTTCGATAGAGGCGGCGTAGGCAATCTGTTCGTTGGCGGTGTCGCTTCAGGCGTCGGTACACGGACGGAGTACGTGTGCAGGTTTGATGTTGCATACGGTGGTTGGTGCTGACTCAGAAGGTCTACAAGCCCGAAAGGCAGCTGCGTCGGTTGGGATGAAGTATGCGATGGTGATGGGTCTGCTGGAGGCTGCGAAGATCGGTGCGACTGGTCGAAGACCGCACCAGCTCCAAACTGACGGCAACCCACCAGATCGCTCCTGCGGGAGTCTACATTGCCATATGCAGCACTGATGTGGGCGAGGTAGCTATCCGGTGTTGACAATTGTGGCTGCGGACGCTTCTCAGCGGCTGGTTTCGGAACTGCGGAATATCCCCATCCAATGTGCTGCACTTCAGGCTCCGGTTCGGCTAGCTTTGGTGCACCATTCCCTTCAATCCCGTGTTCGCCGTGTTCACCATCTTCGTCTCCCTCGTACTGGCCCTCGTTGGCTGTCTTTGTCAAGCTCGCGAACGTCTCCGTTACCAGCTTGAACTCTTGGGCCAAGCTCGGATTCAGCTGTAACAAACCTGACTTGACGGTGGACTCGTTTAGCTTTAAAAAGGCTTTGTTCATCTGCTCGATAATCGAGTGGAGCTGTGTGCTTTGATTCTTCAACGACGCGATGGTGGTTTCCTTCCGCTGCCGATATGCACGCTGCGCAAGCCGGATTTGAGTTCTTCGTCTCTGGTAAATCTGTCAGTACATTCGACATGAATGCTGAGATCGGATCGCGAGGAGCTTCATGCTGGGTAGTGTCATCTGGAGCACGGCAGGCTCATCAGCGTCGTTCACAGGAGGTGGGGATGCCGATGAGGAGCTCACAGTGGGTCGAGCTGGAGGACACATCAACAACTTGACAGCTTCTTCGATCAGGACAGGTGCGCATGTCCCGTTTACCCTCCCGCTCCAAGAGTTGACAACGACGAATCGGGTAGATAGAACAAAAAGGACGTTGCGTCTCCACTCACATCTGCAGCCGTGGCGTCCTGTGTGTCTACCCTTGGACGGCCCCTAGCCTTCTTTCCTCCAGCACCACCGTCATCGACGCTGTCCCTCCTGCGTGAGCGCTTCCGTGATGTCTGCGCCTGTTCTGATTCTGAGCTGGTCATGATTCTGGTTTTCGCTTCTGATACCGCTGATCGAACAGAGTAAGGTCCGGAGGTATGTCACCGAAGGAGTTCGGTGGAACCAATAGCGAGACTGACTACGAAAGGCGAAAGGATGCTGAACCGAAGTCGGTCTCCACGGACTACTAATCACTCCGTTCCGACTCTTGAAACACCACTATCGTTCACTTGTGAGGAAAATCGTAAACGCTTCGTATAGATTCTCAATGGAGTAATTTGGTTCGCGTAAAAATAGCGGGAAGACGTTGTGTACATGTAGATTGCACCCAGAACTAGTTCAACCTGACGCAAGCCAGACGGTAGGTATGGAAAAGCAAAAGATGCTCCGGCGCCGATTCAGTGAACGGCCGCTACAGCTCACAAGGTTCGAGATCGATCAAGGGTCCGCTGTTACACGGGGCTAATGCGCGTCTCCGCACAGGATGCGGCTAGTTCCTGCTGTCTGTAGGGCGAAGAGGCGGACGAGTGCATGGGCGGGTGGGTTCATGACCATAGGTTTGCAGGCGTTGTGGTCCCATCTACGTGGGTTTATTTGCGTGCAAATTTATAACTCGCAAGCCTATCCTAGACATTCTTGATGGTGAGATGTTTGAGACCGATGTCGTCGGAGCTTAGTAGCTGGGTGTGGCCAATTGTTTCGTTGTGCGTCTTGTAGCTCTGGTGCAGTTCGGGAGGCTTTGGCAGCATGATTACTGAACAACAAATTTCCCGGAACGGCAAGTGCCGCATGCCAAGTGCTGCACGTGACACCAAGGTGACTCCTGTCAGCAGTCTGCAGGGCTGGCGGTTATAAATTTTTCCCTCGCTCCATTGTCAGCTGGTTTCTTGTCAGCGCTTGATTATATAAGCTGTTTAAACCTCTCTAGCTTGGTTAATCAAACGCCCCCCTTTACGCTCCAGGGCGCGATACCTGGGCAGACGCTTCCTTGGGTAGCTTCAGCCAAGTCTATACGGTATACGGGCGACGCGACACCGGGAACAACGTAGATCCTAGAATATACAGATCATGACGTCAATGTTTTGATGAACGAGTGAACGAGACTGTCCAACTTATAAGTTGACGATGTCACAATCACGACTTCCATGCGTCTCAGGTACCAATGCACTAGCCCGGTCAAGGATATTTAGAGCTTGTGTATGATCACATAATCTAACGTTGTATATCTATGCTGATGCTTGCCCTGGACCGTGTCTAAGCTTCGGCACGACGCCCAACCAGTTGTTCGATTGTTCATCTTCGCCCTGCTCTGCAGCGGCCGCTGCGTGCCCACCCCCAGACTCCCCACTAGTGTTCTTCTCCGCATCATCATATCTATCTCGAACCCCATGCCCTGTTTGCTGACTGTTTGCATCCTTTACCTCCGCCTCATGTTCCCGTACCGGTCTTTCGCTTCTCTCTGCCTCTCTGCGGGAGGGGCTTGCAGATCTAGGCGCATCGGCAGCCGCATGATGATTATTCCGAGATTCCTCCGCCGATACAATAGCATGATCCTCATCTATGCGCTTTTCTCCTCTGTCTTCTGCTTTGATCCATGTTTGCAGATCCTCCTCTGAAGGTTTATGGAAACACCACATCTCGTCAGAAGTCGTGTATCCAGTGCCCATGCCGCCTTGAAAGTTGCGCTTAAACTTTCTTTGCAGACCAGCAGCTAACCGTTTCCTGAACTCATTGTCAACTCGTAGTCGGGCAGCTATCCACTGGTCGTTCGGTCGGTGGTCGTTGGGCATGTCTTCCATAAGAGGCGTGTCCAGAATCTTCTCATCTGTCATACATCGATTAATGATGGACTTGCCGCCTCCCGAGTCGGGCGTAACCAAACGGAGGAACTCGAGGCTAGTGCTGACGTTGAGATCGATAGCTCTTTGCGGATGGACAGTGGCCTTCATGAACAACGATGAGACGTGCTTGTACAAGATCGAGAAGTCGCTTTGGTTGATGTGAACGGAGCCTCGGACCGTAAGAAGATACGCAGGGGCACCATGCTCGCTGGCCTCCTTCATCAGAGACATGGACGCATCCCAGTTTTTCTGCCAATACATGAACGCTTCACTGGCGATGCCCAGCAGGGGGAGGTGTATTCGGTGCTTCGGGTCTTCCACAGGTGGCTTTACAGGCGCGCTACAAATGTGTTAGTTCCAATGTAACGACGGGGAGAAAGATATAGTCACCCCCAGATGTCGTAGATTATCCCCGCTTGCACATTAGTAAATCTTTCGGCGTGCCTGAGCACTTCTACCACTGTTGCTGCTCCGAAACTATGACCAGCCATTGTCATTTTATCTACGTGAAAACGATGTTTCCATTGTGCCCAATCAATTCCGCCCAGACCTCTGGAAGAGCCTCCAACGTAGCCTTCGCCTCGGAGATTCTGTCGTGCGATTTCCTCTCCATCGCCGTCAGATATCATCTTGAGTACACGGTATGCTTCCTCTAGCTCGCAAAGGCGCAGCTCTATTTGTGCGCTGCGCAGTTCGCCGTCGACGCCGTGCTCATTGTTCGGTGCGGTGTCCATCGGATTATCTTTGGGGAAGATGTAGTCCTGCTATAGTCAGCCTAATAGATTCTGTATTCCAAAACCTCACAGTACGCACGACATAGTGATAACCTTGCGCAATTTCTTCGTCAGTGTGATCCAGATGCTGAAACTTGGCAAAGTCTTTGTCGTCTTCTACGTCTCCGTCGCAATCCGTATGGTTCGCTTTCCCTCCTCCTTGGGCATCCTTTCTCCGCTTCCCTCGCTTCTTGTGATTAATGAAAGTCCGCGGTCCACTCCCGTCTCTATGCTCCACTGCGCACACGACGAAGCCGTAGCTCGCGAACTCAGAGCATAGGCTGCTGTATGCGGTTCTAGAGCCACCAAGACCATGACTAAACATCAACAGTGGGAACATGGGCTCGTCGTTCATGCCCTCGGGCGGACTACCCTGCTGGTTCTTGATCTCATACCCGTCTTTCTTCATGTTGCCTTCCGGAGGCCAATGGGTCGCAGGAGGGGCGTTCCTAAAACCGCGCAATTTGGTGAGCATGGTGGTCGCGCCAAAGATGCCGATGCTTATAGGGCTCGGTATGCCAGCAAACCGCGCATAACCCTTCGCCGTCTCCATGCGCGGCCTTGGAAGCCATGTCTCGCGACTCCATTTCTTCTCTCCTCCTGGGGCGTTCCCGTTACCACTCCCGAACGAGGCTGGGTAATATAGTGTAAACAAAACAGTCTCCAACTGCAGAAGGTGCCGGCCCTTGCGCTTGATGTTCGAGATCGGACGAGGGTGTTCGACAGGGACTTCTATCTCCATGCTGCCTATGGAGTATGGCCCTGAAGTGGGAGAGAGGGTCGAGTTTGGGTAAGGGAGATGATCGCGTATCGATGCGGGCGGTCTCGTGCGTGGTTTCTTCGCGTTGGGTATCTTGCCCGAGGACGAGGGATTGAGGATGCTGTGTCGACGGGCGCCATCTTCGTCACCCGTAATGCGCGTCTTTTGACGCTCAAGGAAGGACATGGTCGATGGCGAGCGGTGGTGTGAAGGGTGATCGAGGGTATCTTAGAAGAAAAAGCGCGTAACAAAACGGACGCGGTAGGACCACGCCTCTGGGTGATGAAAGCGATACAGCGATCGTGAAGAACAACGGCCGAGAATGCTTCGCCATTCTTAGTAGGCGCTAGGAGGCCCCGCCTGAAACGCTTGCTCCGCTGGCGAGACTGTGCGGATGCGCCCGGGAGACCTAACTGTAGTGTTTGGTGTTTTGTGAGAATGCCGATGATGTCATGGGCCGGTTCCCGTGGAGCGCGTAAGTGGGGCCGATACCCCTTCGCCGTCCCTGACGAGCGCAGACACTCGGCCTACATCAAGCATGACGTGAATTTGCTGGCGTTCAACTTAAGTCATGTTGAATTGAGCTATCAACTAAGATGGTGAATAACATACTTTTCCAAAAGTTGTACAGTGTGCAATACAGCACATAACGCGAGATAGAAGACATGTGCACCCAACATGTTATGGGTGCAGTCTCGGTCGCTTTGGCTCAGGCTATGAGGTCTTCGACCTGTCCACCACCGGATATTGATCGGTACCGAAAGTAGAGTTGAGCGACACCTGTCCCGAAATCTTACCGTTCTCCATGCGGATCCACGTGTCGACCACCTTCGCATCCAGCATATCCTCCTTGACGACGATCTGACGCGCGCCCCGTGTCCAATCAGTGTAGCCACCATAGCCTGAGTGACGATTGAAGCAGATGTTCAGCCCGTTGCCGTTGCTAGGAGAGTTGCCAGGGAGGTCTTTGGCCCATTTCATGCACCAGTCTACGCCATGGTCGTGACCCGAGAAAACGGCCAGGAGGTTTTCCGTCTCCACGAGCGCCTTCATGAAAGGAATGTCGGCTCCACCGTACTTGCAGTTGTTCCCAGTATGATCGCAAATATCGCCCTGGTTGCCTACACTCTCCTCGTTGATGCCTGGGTTCGCGGTCTTGGAACGCCCGTTATGTTGGAAAGAATCTGCAGCGTGTATCGGAATGTGCACGAAAGCCATGCTGGGAACCGCGCGGCCATATTGCTGGCGAAAGGCGTTGTTGGTATTGCGAAACCATTCGACAACCTGCAAGAATCAGTACGTTATGAATCCCTGTAACAAGAGTCTCATACCTTCTCGTCGACCCAATTCGGAACACCGACATCATCACCAGTGGGTTGATACTTCATGCCTCCTTTGCTGTCAAAGAACCACAACAGCATCTTCAGATCAGAAGCATCCGTAGAGCTGTACACTGGGGCGAAATAGCTGCTCCAGCCAACTTGATTGATATCGCCAGACACGGACTGCGTCGTGAAAGAGAGTTTCTTGCCATTGTTGCCCTTGACGTCCGACCACATGTGTTTGGACATGGCACTAGTGCTGCAAGTCTTGGAAGCATCATGATTGCCGAATGTTGCGCCGAAAGGCAGGTTGCGGGCGACGAGTGGAGCCACGATCTGATCGATCAACGGATTTGCGTCTTGAGGGGCCACCCACTCACAAGAGAGGAGATCGCCGTTGAGGACGACGAAGTCGGGCTGCTCGTTGTCGAGGACTGAGTTCATGACTCCGATGGTTTTGAAGTCTGCGAATGGACGGCCGCGCTGAGACTCAGCTACAAGTTGTTAGTATATACCGGTTTCAGGTTCATTCGACGTAGAGAGATGCGATGACTTACGCTCACCGAAGTGGAGATCACTGAAGACGGAAATCGACAATTGTCTATCCGCAGCGAATTGGATACCTGCATAGTAGGGCGCGGATCTGCTGTGAAGCACAGCGGCACTCACTGTTGAAGCCAGCAGCCAGATGAATTGGGTAAACTTCAAGGTAGCCATAACGGGCTAAGTGGGATGTTGTAAGTTGATGCACTTAGAGGCAGCAGGTAGTCGAGCCGAAGGTGAAGCAAGATCAGTGGAAGTGAGGGTGCATTGCAAGCAAAGGAAGCGAGACCAGAGTGAAAGACTTGCTCACGCAGATAGCGAGGGTGAGTGCAGGAAGGGGCGTGGGGGCCTACAACCCAATGGAGTCGAAGGTGAAGAGCGAGCGGCATCATGGGAAAGAGCTGATTGAACTCAACTCAGGTCTCGTTGATACTTTACGTTGTAACGTCGATGCCGCCTATCTCAGATGCGGCAGTCGTGTATGTTGTCTCTATTCCCCTACAATCTCCTCATCACGCAAAATCTAATGCCATTCCGACAGAAACACAAGGACAAACGGCCCCAATACCAGCCCACTGAAGAATGGGGCTATTTGAAGTGTGGAGGAAGGTAGGCAGGGAATGAACGGCCGGGGGTCCGCTCTGGACGGTCGCGCTAGCCAAGACTTCCCCACCAAAATTTCCAGACGCGAAGTTGGGGATCAGTCCTTCACCTCCGCCGCCATGAACGCCGAGGCTTATCTGCGCAAGCAAGGCTGGCAGGGCTCAGGTCACTCGCTCGACCAAACCGGCCGCGGCATCAAGAAGCCGCTTCTCATCGCCCACAAGAACGACCAGCTCGGACTCGGCAAGAAGAAGGCGGCGCATACGACAGACGACCAGTGGTGGTTGCGCGCATTTGACCAGAGTCTGCAGAGCATTGGTACAGGCAAGGACGTATGCAGTCATGCACCACTGCGCGCGATCAAACAGCTAATATCCCGCTCAGAGCACGCTTGACCAGATCCGCACCCAAGGCATCTATCGCGGAGGTCTCTATGGCTTCTTCGTAAAGGGCGAGATGATTGGAGGTACGATTGGAGAATCCTCAGCGACCACCACAGACGCATCGAATCCCGCTTCCGGCGCAAGCACGCCTCCCACATCCGCATCCGACACCGAAACGCCCGCGCCTACCAAGGGGAAAACCGACAAAAAGAAGAAGCGCAAGCGAGACGAGGGAGATGCCTCGGTTAGCAAAAAGGCGAAGAGCGACGCGGTCGAATCGAAGAATGAACAAAGCTCGGCGGCAGTCACGGGCAAAGACCTGAAGGCCGTAACGAAGAAGCTTGCGAAGCTGAAAACCGAAGAAAAAGCCGAGTACGAGACGCGCGCGAAAGCAAAGGGCCAGACACTCGAGCAATACGTCCTCCGTCGCATCCAGAAGAAGTCAGAAACGCGCGCTCCTAAGCCAGTAGAAAAAATCAAGGAGAAGAAATCGAAGTCGGATAAAAAGGAGAAGAAGAGCAAGAAGGCGCAATAACCACGAAGATACAATGGTGTAGATGGAGAGAACAGTAGACGATCACATCACTCTCAGGATCGGCGTGGGATGCCCGCAGCCTTTTCAGGGTGGACAAGCCCTCGAAGCGCATGCGGGAGCTGTGCAAAGAGCAGAAGTAAAAGGATCCTGGCTCGAGGGGCTATATGTCGCCGATCCATCTTCAATGAGCCGGGCGTGATCGTCAGGATAGATACCCAAGTCTGTAGGGGCCGCTGACGACTACCCCAGGGAACGTGGTCTGAATGCAAAATAAGGGCCACAACGAGAGCACCGGATCAGAGAATTGACCGGGAAGCGCAACGTTGTAGAGTCGGGATTTCTAGGCACATGCCATACGTGCGGAATACTGTATTATACCAATATTGCGATGTTGTTACAGACGAATATTATTCGATCACTCAAATAAACAACACCAACAGCATCCAGATCTTACATTTCACCATCATCTCATCCCCGCTATCATACACTGCTTCGTCTCACCAATACACACAAACAGCCCCATCGCAAAAATCGTCATCGTCAGTCGAGAAGGGAAAGAAAACCCACCAAACTCATCGACAAGACAAAAACCTACCAAAGACAGAAGTTTGTAAACAAATCACCTCGCCCAGCTAACTCAACCCGTCTTCCCACTCAGAATCCAGGGCCTCTTCTCCCAAAAATCGTCCTTGATGATATCCACGTGCTCCATCAGCACCATCGCCTTACTCCGCTTCTTCTTGTCTTTATCCCTCTGCGTACGACTCATGGGTACGGGCCATCCTTCGTTCGCCTGTTGAGGCGCAGTAGCTGCAGCCTTACTATTCGTTTCCGATTGTGGTTGTTTGCCTTTATCCGGCCTGGCCTTTGAAGAGTTGGACTTGGAGGGTTTGGGTGTGCTGGTGTCTTTGTTGCGACTGCTGGTGGACGGGCGACTGGTGGGAAAGGCTTGGGAACTTGGCCCTGCAGCGGATGTTGAGGATATTAGGGTGTGGAGATCGGGGCCTGAATGAGGGTATGGTAGGGTTGCTGATGTAGGCGCAGACTGTGTTGGTGTGGAAAAGGCGTGGAGTTCTGCAATACCTGGGTGGGAGATGTGGTCTTGCGTACCCCAGCCTTGACCCGCTCTGTTGTCTGAGTCGCTTGGCCTTCGCTGAGGCGACTCGCTGCCGTTGATAGCGTACTTGCTCCAGTCTTGCCATGGGCTGTTTCCCTTGACCTTCTCTCGCGTGCGCATCTCCTCTTCTGCGCTCATTGGCGGACTGGGCAGAGCCTTGTTCTTTTGGATCGGCGGGCTGACTTTGCGGGGCGGCGTCGATGTCGCATCTCCGGGGGTAACGATGCTCTCCTTCTCATCCAAAGTATCTCTCGTAGCTTTGAGTGTTGACGTTGATCGATGGACTGGTAAAGACAGCTTCCGCGGCTTGCTGTTGGCAGGAATGCTGGATATTCGCAGTGGTATAGACGGGGGCTTCACTGCAGGTGTGCTAGATGATGCAAAATATGAAGGCAGAGAAGGCTGGCTCGGCGATCGTTGTTTGATACGCGAAGGCTTCACTTGAGGTGGGTATGAATGTGTCAAAGAAGCAGAAGCGGAGTGGGAGAATCCATGGCTGGCCGCTGCAGTGGCATGGTGGCGGTAGCCTGCTATAGGAAAATCTGCAGGAAAATCGCCCTGTGGTGTCACTGGGGAGAAGTTGGTACGTGTTGTCGGATTCGGTTGGCTCAATGACATCGGAGGCTTGCTGCTTGGCTTCAATATTGGTGGGGACAGCGGCAAAGGCGTCAACGATGGTAGGTGTTGCTTGCCGTTCAATGAACCGTTGTTGTTCCAGGTGGCAGTTGTTGGCGGAGAAAGCGGCATGGACGAACCTGGCATATTACCCTCACCATCGGAGCCAATCGGATTGGACCTGAGTGGGTTGGGGAATGCTGATCTCGAAATCGTAGGTGGCGATGGCGGCGGTGATGGCGTTGATGTTGTGGAGAGAAAGGTAGGACGTCTGCATAGACCTGGATTCTCCATCATCTCCTTCTTATCCGGTAGATAAGGGATAGACCTCTCAATAGACTGTGATGCCTGGTGATTGGACGCTCGCTTTGGTGTTGGCTGAGCGATCGGTGGCGTTGGGAAGTCCGACAGCACGGGTGACGACAATTGCTCGGTCGGCGGGGTAGGGAAGAACTGTCACGGTCAGAAACGTGGGCGTGAATATTGATGTTGCTAAAGCATCTCTTACGTCTCGGTACAGCACCGTGCCTTTCTTGAAGCACTCTGGTTCGTTGTTGTAGTTGATTCCGAACTCCTTGAACAAGATCTCGTTCTTGTCGGATGACACTGTGCCTTTGAGTCTTTGCTCTGCTTCTCGCGCTCCCATGCCACCCTGCTGAACAAGGGTCCAGAAAGTGGTGTTGTACAGATTGTTGATATGACCTGCACGATGGTCAGATCCACTCTACGACCGACACCAAGAGCAAGCAAAAACTTCAGTCTAACAAGAAAAGGCAGGATGAAGATGATGCATCAAAATACTTACAATCGGCTTGCCGCCAGCTCATATAGTGTCGAAGGTTGATATCGCTTGGGTATAAGACCGCACGCCCATCGAAGGTCGGTAGGGGTGCTGTGAGTGGCTTATCCGGAAAGTATGTTGACCAAGAATACACATAGTAAGCAGTGAAAGTCGAGACAATCGTCGTAGTCAGTTTGCTAAACGGGGATCAGTTCTAGACGAATGACCACCGGAGGTGATAAAGTTGCACCAATAGGAGGATTCCCGTACCTGGCTCGTCGTTCGAATAAGGCGCAGTCCTTGTGAAAGACGAAACTGCGACCCACGTCAGCTAAGCCGCCCCGAAACATGCTGCCCCACCCCTGTGTATACCGCGCTGGGAACATTGGGCAGCTCGATGGAGGCATAATCAATCTCAAACACAACGTGCTCGAATAAAAGAATGCAACATACCTGTATTCGTCGCTGTTGCCAAATGCAAGGACAAGGTCGGGCAGTTCCTTCATGACCGCTACGGCGGCAGCATTCATGACATCAAGGCCATTCTTGTCGTTTGGCTTGAGGAACTCATATTTGGACGTGAACCTGTTCGCGCGTTGTTAACAATGGCCCTTGTTGGTGTACAATAGCCGAGATGTTGGCCTGGGGCAGCAATTCCGTTCATGCAACATGGTGACGGGTACCTGCATATCCCGGACCAAGAAAGTTTGCCACGGCGCAAGTGAGGGAGAGAGAATTGGTGAGCGTACTTGGAAAAGCCACGTCCGTCTATCCGTACTACAATCCAGGTGTTGGGAATTAGATTGTCGGGCTGCTCGAACCCGCGCACGTATTCGAATCTGGAGTCCGTTAGTTGAGGTCCGGTGAGCTTGTGCAGGCGGCCAGCTCTGGACGTTGGCGGCAGCTTCCCCACCCGCTCGAAAAGCTATTGATTACTCACTTGCTGTTCGCCATTTATGGCCTCTCTGCAGATAACAACCTTTCTGCCCCTGCACAGGCGCACGGCATAGTCTTTGAGCGATGAAAGACAAGAATTGACGGACGTCAGCGTGAGCTTGTTTGCTGCTCAGGAGTGCGTAAGTGTGGTTTTGAAGGCTGAGAGTCCGGGGCTTAGGCTAACCCGGTGTGCAGTACAGCAAAAGACGGTGTTTCAGGTTTGCAGATGTAATGCAGCTACCGCGACAAGCTTCTCGAGCCGACTGAAGCGCGGATAACGAGCGCGCAATTGGCACCCTCCGAACTGGCTATCATGCATTGCGTGGGTTACCCGCGGGTCGCAAAGTCTTTGAACATGGGATGAGTCCCCACACTCCGTTCCGGACGATCTCTGGCGCTCGGGCCAACGCCTTCCTCTCCAACAAAGCGACGCGCCCGCCGACACACGACCACCACCTTATCGCTTTCATGCACCAAGGGAAAGAGCTTCAGTGTACAAAGCAGAGTTGTACGCGTCCTTGCGCCAAGCCACTCTAGTATCTCCCCCTCATCGCACAGACAGACGCATGAAGCACTCGGACATGCGGCATCTCCCGACCCATACGTAGTTGCCGGAGCGGAGCGAGCGGTGAATGTGCTCAGACGCGTGCCTGTGCTTCTCGCAAATAACCGCCACGTGTGGCACCTGCTACGGGCTTCATGCTGGGAGGCATGGCGTAGCCTGACGCATACGGGACACCGGTTCTTTAGGAATCCAACTAAGGCCAGCCGCTACGCCATCTTCAAACAACAACACCATGCAATGTATACAGACACTACCGAAATCTTTCCGGATAGCTCCTATCCACCGGTTCTATAGCCTCTATCGCCACAGTATACGTCTCAGCCTCCGGAATCTGCAGCAGCGTCTTCGTCAAATCGCCGCGTTGAGCATTTAGGTTGTTGCCCAAAGATCTCTGGGGGTTCATACAGCAGCATGAACTCTGCACCCTTGTTTGTTCCTCCTGAGCTTTGTCCTCCTCCTTTAGCGATAGCCTAGCGAGAGTATTCTCCTGGTGGTGGTTACCAAAGTGCGTCAGCCACTCAGCGATCGGCATACTCATAATTACAATTAATTCCTAGCAGCACCAGGCATTACCACAAACAAAAAGCCGGGCCGGCGCATCAAAACATCAATTTCGGCCTTGTTATTCTCCGCTACTTACTGCAGGTCCCGTCCCGCACATCTCAACTTTGGATCGTCGGTCGATCTCATGTCTTGGCATATTTACGTCCCAAAGACAGCATGTGAAAAGGGCCGTTCTCACGGCTCGGCCAGAAACAAACGTAGTGGCCAAGACTTTTGATCTAATTCTTACACGACGGGTATTGGCGACGCTGGCGTCATAAGTCCATGACGGGGTTAATCTATGCTTGTTAGTATCGATTGTAGACGGCATACGATAGCTAGAAACAAGATTTTCTGATGAATCACCGCCAAACCTAACCTCAACGTCGAGATCTTCTTGTTCTCGCGCTCGTCTTGTAACGATCCGATTGCAACTACTTCGGGTGGTACGTTAGGTGGTTGTATATGTGATGACTCTGAGCTGGCATGTCTCAATCTACATCCACGGTACGGCGATGAGTCTTCGAAGTGACTCTGCGATGAGAACGTCGAAATCAAGATGAAGCATGTTGCAAGATTTTCATGTTTCTCGTGAGAATAAAGGGTTCACAAAACCATATCCTTGAAGTCCACTATTTCTGTGCATCGTGCGCCAACCCCACCGCTCTCCAAAAACCGATCTTCCTTGGCCTATCCTTGCACACCGCACTGCTAAATTGCCGATGAGACGTAATCTTCCGGCGTCAAGCACTGTCTTGTGATACCCCATGCGGCTAGACTTAGACTGGCTGGTGATGTTCCGTAAAATACTTTTGTGGCTGAAGTCTTGTTAGAACTCCATCAATCTGCATGTGTGCTACCAGGCGCTGAGTGCCTATCCCGATAGCAATGTGATATACACAGAAGTTGGTGCGCAGCTGTGGACCACAGGACAGGAACACATGATTCTCGTCCTTCCCGCAGCTTCAAATTAGGTACCCCAGGGACCGCTTCCAGGTGGGACACGAGACAATGTAGAGACTTCTAGACTCGACGATTGAGATGTCGAATGAATTAAGCAAAGTGCCAGAGAAATTCATTTCAAGGCACCAATGCATTAGATCGGAGGCCGAGGCCCGGTGTCGGCGGGTCGATGGATAAAGGTGCCAGTTGTGGCATCAAGGATTTCATCATCAACACCAAGTCGGTTGCTTTGAACGGCTTCTGCATGATGCGATCCTGTACAGCCTGTTAGCCTAGAAACGCTTTCGACAGTTATCATATACTTACTGCTCCAGCAGCAATAGCAGTATCGATCTGCTCTTTCCGAACGTTCGCCGTAACAGCAATCACAGGCAACCGTTCAGAAGACAGCACCCCCTGCCCCTCCTCCCTTTTCCGTATCTCGCGCATCGCACCAAGCCCATCAAGTACCGGCATCTCCAGATCCATCAACACGATGTCAAACGTTTCTCTCTCCAGTATCTCGAGCGCCTCCAGACCATGGTTCGCGACGGATACGTGGCATCCCGCTTTCTTAAGTTGTTTGCCGAGCACTTGCTGGTTGATGATATTGTCTTCCACCAAGAGTACGTGGAGTTGCCGCATTGCCGCTTCCTTATTGCCGGTTTGTTGAAAAATCTCTTTGAGGGTCCTGGGCTTCCATTCCACTCTTCGCGTCTTGACGTAGAATCCAAAAGTCGAACCTTGGCCCTGAACGGATGACACGCCTATTTCGCCGCCTTGCTTCTCAGTAAGCTCCTTTGAGATGAACAGACCCAGCCCACTGCCGCCGTATTTAACATGCGTCTTCACGTTCGCTTGGCGGAAGCGCTCGAATATCTTGTGAATTTCCTTCTCTTGCAAGCCAATTCCCGAGTCCTTGACGGTAAACGCAAGATAGATTTCTTCACCGGTGCCCCAATCTGGATTGCTTGTAACATCGCCGTCTTGCTTGCCCTCAGTAGCCCAGAACATGTCTTCCGGAAAGAGTTCACGGGGTCCCGAGGTGCTGGCGCCATAGCGAATGGAGAGGGCTGGCTCTTTTGATGGTTTGACGAACTTGATGGCATTCGTCAGTAGATTGATGAAGACTTGTGTCACGCGGGACGGATCCAGATGAAGGTGGTCAATGCCTAGACTCAAGAATGACGTGTCAGGTGTGACACTGTAAGAGATGTTGTGCGTCTTCATCTCAGCTTGGAAGATGTTGACGATGGATTCCACGAGCTTTGCGGGTTTGACTGCGACGGGCGTGATGGACAAGAGCATGGAGTCGAGCTTACTCAAAGTAAGTACATCGTCGATAATACGCTTCTGATGATTTGCACATTGCATGATGACGTTTGCGCTTTGTATGTTGTCATTGAGAGTATCGAGACACGGTACAGGCATATCGGCGAGCTGCGTCTGGCACTCGACAACCGCGTTGGCAATCGCATCTGCGCAATGTACAATGGCGCTCAATGGGTTCCGCATCTCGTGTGAAACTACGTCAATGAAGGCTTCCTGCTGTCTTTTTGCTTCTCTTGCTTCGGCGGCTAATCGAGCCTGGAAGGTCTGCGCCCAGCACAGCCTGCTAATGTCAGTCGTACAAGCCATTACGCTTCTCACGCTTCCATGCTCGTCGCGGTACGGGAAGGCCAGAACCTGGATCTGGGCGGGTTCGGGATCCCCGGTAGGAGGCGTGTACATGCGCTTCATGCGCAAGTCGGCTGTGACGTGGTCGGCGCCTCTAATCAGACGCTCCCAAACATCATCAGCTTTTAACCGATCATCCTCGTGATATGCGTCAAGAAAGGCAAGACCGATGGCATGTTCCGAAGGAGATTTCCCAGCTAGCTCATAGTAGTGATCGTTGGCCCAGAGCATATTACCGTCAAGAGATACATGGCACATGCCAACAGACGCGTGATCAATCAGATGGCGTAGCTTGAGATCACTGAAAGCCAGATCAGTCTCGAGCTGCTCTTGACGCTTCTTGGTGGATTCATTGTCCACGGCAGAAGATATGATACTTGACACCATGCGACCTAGGTCCCGGATAAATTGCGTGCATATATCGTCGTGGGGGCGAAATGGATTGGTGCCGAAGACGAGGTAGCCGAAAAGGCGTGTTCCGCTCATGATGGGCATTACGACAATCTTCTTGGAAGGCGCGCTCCAACCTCTCCACGAGGTAGCGAGAAATCGTTCATCATGCTCGATGACCATAGTGTCTATGCCAGCTCGTCGCAGATCTGGTATTAGTCCTTGCTCACTGTCGATAGTGGCTGTCTGGATGAGAAGGTCGTGCCCCTCGGGGAAACCAAATTGGCCGTGGAGTATCAACTTGTTCGAGCCTGGGGTTGTGTCCATTCGGTAGAGCATGGACATGGGCACATCGTTGGCGTTGGTTTCGAGCGTGGTGAGAATGTGAGAGCAGACTGCGTCGACACATTGTGAAGGCACGGAGGCGAGACTATTCAGGCAGGTGGTACGGCGGTCTGCGAGCTTCTGGCTTGTTACCTCGTAGCTAGTTGGGTCAGCTGTGTTTGGAAATAGGTCACTGGGAAACGCGTTTTCTAGCTTGGTTACTACACGTAACTCACGTTGTATTCATGAAGCCCTCGATAGCGCCTGGCATGCCGACTGGAACAAAGCCGCCAGAGAAGAAGGCCTCCTCTTGGTAGCCTCTGCGCTCGACAACCGTGGGCATGGCAGAGCTGTAATTGACTCCAGTGCCTGTCCGCTTGGCCTGTATGAAGTACTGGCTGATGGACGGCCAGAGATCGGGAAAGCCATCCTGGAAGAGGGAGCCCATAAGGTTGGGGTGAGCGCCCCCGGCCAAGGGAGCATAGGCCTCGTTGTATATGGCAGTGAGGTTGGAGATGTCTTCTCCCCACCAGAGGCAGGCTCCGCGCGAATCGGCCAGTACATAACTTGCGAACATGCGCAGCGTCGGGCTCCACGTGCTCAGTGGCCCCAGGCAGCTGCGCGACCAGTCCGTGGTGCGGAAGAAGGCGATATGGTCGGTCTGAGGAAGCGCCGCGGTCCAATCATCGTATACGCATTCATCGTCGGGGTTCATGGGAGGAGCGCCGAAGCCGTCTTCGTCGGGGGGAGGAGTGAGCATCTGCATGTAGCTGCCGGCGCAGAAGTGGCAGTCGCGAGGGAGACACAAAGTGGCTGCAGCATCTTCAAAAGGAATCGACGTTTGCGCAGGCAAGGCGCGGTCAGGACCCGGTTATCTTATTCCCATGCGATGCTTCGGTTTTGGCTGCGGCGGTGCTTCTTCGGCCAGTACTGGCGTCGATTGCATGTGGGCACGGGGCACAATCGAAGATGCATCTCGCACCTCCCCTCGCACATGCCGATCTGCCGAGATTCCCATCGCCTCGCCCCGGGCCACATGCCCTTTGAACCCATCCGCATGCCCTCGTACCAACCCTGGTACATCTACATCTCCCGAGACACTCTGTATGGGAGCAAACGAAATTCCAACCTCGCGCAGCAGCAAGACAGCCGCTGTTTGGCGGGGCAAACCTTCTCGTCCACAGGGCATTGCGACGCCACAAGCGGGTGATCCTTTTTCTTCATCGACCGATCACCGTCTTTTCGACATGGTAGAACAGGGGGGCGCTGTATCCGCCGTGTTTGCAGCCTCGCCGAATGCAGCTAGTTGCCCGTCGCTGCCCATCGCATTCACGCCCGATACTATTCCAGTACTGCAACCCACTCGCTCGTATCATGTCTGTCCAAACCGAGCGTGTCTGACTCACCTCGCCGCACTCTTTACCGGATGCAACAGAGATGCCAATTGCTGGTTGTATACGCAGGGATGCCTGTGTACTGCATTGCTCTGCTACCATGTTACGAATCAAACTGTAAGATTGATGAGAGCCTACTGCTGTCGGTCAACAAGAATTTCTCCTCTTTTCGAATATTACAAATGTCGACGTTTGGTGTCTCCAAGGTTATTTCTGCTCCACTAGCGGTTTGTAAGCGTTACGTCATTTCGTCGAGATAGCCGTTGAGTGGTTACTCGCTCAATCGCCCAACCAGACATTACGAAGCATGTCAAGATTGATCTCTAGCACCGCTCGATATAGGCCTGAGATACAAAACACATTTTCATGTAGGAACAAAACTCTATCGGTTACACATTCATACTGAGCCTCACTTTCCACAATGTCTGTCCTTATCACGGGAGCCTCTGGGTATCTTGGTGGCTCGCTGCTTGCGGCACTACACAACGCCGTACTCACTGAGCACAAAGACATATATGCTCTCGTCAGATCTCCAGACCAAGCGGAAGCGGTGAAGAAGTATGGCGCGCGCCCTCTCACTCTCAATTTACAAGATGAAGAGAGTGTGATCAAGAGCATCGTCGATGCGCAGATATCCGTCATATTCTTCCTCGTTGACGCTATGAACTCCGATATGCAGGTTCCCATGATAAAAGCCCTCGCAGAAGTCCAGAAGCAAACTGGACGCGAAGTCCACTTTTTGCACACCAGTGGCGCAAAGATCTTCAGCGAACATGCGGGGATGCCTATCGATCGACCACTTCCCGATACAGATGATGATCTGTACAAACTACAAAAGAGCTCCAAAGCTCCTCATCGACTCTTAACGCAGGTATGAGGCAACTAGCGTGTACGCGGTCCAAAGTCCAATCTCTCTTACTGAAATGACCTCAGGCGACGAACACGAACAATGTCATCATTGAAACGGCGGAGAAACATGGAGTTCGCAGCTACATCTTCATTCCATGTATCGTGTACGGCGAAGGCAAAGGTTTTGGTAACAAAATCTCGATCCAAACCACAGCTGTGGTCAAAGCCGCGAAGGGGGCCGGCGCCGTGTACGATGTCAATCCGGAGGGTTGGGTAGGTGTTATTGAATAGTCACCAAGTCAACCACTCGCATGCTGACGATGTACTCAGACTTGGCCCGTATGTCATATCGACGACAACTCGAAACTGTACGTGAAACTGCTGAAGAGTATCCTACGCGACGAGAATCCAGGATATGGCGAGAATGGGTACTATCTTGCTTCCTCCGGAAGTGTAGCCTGGTACGAAATATACACCGCAATGGCGAAAGCGCTTGCGAAGCGTGGTATTATCGGCAGTCCTGAAGTCAAGAAAGCGGATGAAGCAGCGCTAGATAAGATGGCGCAGGCCTTGAGTTGCCCAAAAGAGCTTGTTGCAGTTCAGCTGGGTGGAAAGTAAGTCTACTTATATGCTCACAAGGATAGACCAGAGGTTGACACCAGACACAGATGCACACTTGAAGCGAAGAGGGGCTATAGCTTAGCTTGGAGACCAGACCATGAGCCGAAGCACATCTTGGAGGCGGCAGATGCAGAGGTAGAGCTTATCTTAAAGCATATATGAGCAGTGAGCAGTATAGTAATAGGCATTGCGGCACCTCATTCAAAGGAAAAACTGAACAGGTCTGCAGACTACATCAAGTCAAAGGCGTGCAAAGTAGGTGACACAACGTCAACGTAGACTGCGGAGTATCCAGTCTTTTCCTAGGCTGGCCTGGCGGCATGGTATAGCTTCGAATTGTAGCTGCCTTTTCCATATGTGATAACCTGGAAGTTTCAATGTGCCAAAGAACAAGAGGACAAGCCAATGAAAGATCCGCAATTAGTGTTCCAGCAAAGCTCTTTTTCTCCCATACTCAAGTTCTGAGTTGTTCGTCTCCATCCACACTAACTCATGCCCTTTCTCCACCAGACGAAGATGCCGATCCCATAATAATGTCCAACTCTGCCTTTGTATACCTCCGTTGCGGCTGCTGCAAAGCACAATTAGCACCATCACCCTAACATGCTCCCTCAACAACTTACCTCCACGAATTTCGGTCCATCGTACTCGCGTAATAGCTCAACGTACTCCATCAAAGGCCGCATGATCGAGGCATCAGCATTCAACGCTGGACCACTGAGCGCAATATCCAGGTCATATGCCAAAACGACGACTGGACCGCGAAACGGCAGTCCAAGGCTCTTGTTCTCGAAGAGTGCACGCTCTCCCTTCACATTCATGTCGTAATTGATCTGGATGAAATACGGAAAGTAGCGGTTGTGGAATGATAGTTTCTTGATCTCCTGGGCCGGCACACCGGGGAAATGGTAGTCAAGGCCGCTTACCGTACCTTCCTCGTCGAACGCCAGAACGGAGAAGATAGGTTTGGCTGAATTGGCGGGGAAGTGTAAAACGCGCCGCATGTTTTTGCCAATGGGTTGTTTGATGGCTTTGGCGTAGGGCTTGCAGGCGAGCTTGTGGCTGGAGAGCCAGTCGCGTTCTTGACAGGCTGGCGAGCAGTAGAGCATGTTTTTGCACTGGCCACATATCTTCTTCGCACCAGGAGTACGACAGGAAGCGCAATGATCTACAACAGCAGTGGGTAGAGGAGGGACCGGGATGTAGTCTTCGAGCATCAACGGATAGCCAAAGTCCTGAGGTGTGTATGGTGTAGTTGAGGACATGGCGAGCGGCTGTAGATTGAAGAGTATCGGAGCGATATCAGGAATGGATTATAATTAGAGAATGTACCCCCAGAAGGAAATAGAGAGCTCAGCAAGCGAGCTATGAGCTTAGAAGATATACTAGCATTAGTCGTACGGCATATGAATGAGGTCGCATGACGTCTATCTCACCGCAAATGACATACTGCCTTTACCTGAGAGCCTTGATCAAGTACCCAGGTAATTTCAGTATGGGCGGTAAAGCCACTGCGATGGATGAAAGAAGACATCGAAATCCACACCGCCAAACACGCCAATCGCCGGAAATAGGTCGCACTCGCCCCTCAAACCAGTGTTGCCCCCCTCGCTTCGTACGTCGAGCTCCTCGTTGCCATCCCAGCCACCTTCCTTTACTCCATTACGCGTGAAAAACACGTCGATATCTAACATCCTTCCCTGTTGCGACTGCTCGTATGATGGTGGGTTGCGCGGAACCGAGAAGGTAATACCAATACCCACAGTATCACCGGGCTTGAAAGCCGAGGTGAAGTCGATACCACCCCATGCATCGTTAACGTACTTTCTTCCATCATCTCCATGCACTCCAAGACTGGCACGTTCCCAGCCTGGGAGACGGAACGTAGGATAAGGCGGCGCAACGAAGCCTATCGCGATGCCGGCGTCTGCTTCCGAGAAGGAGAAGCCACCGCGACCAATTCCAAGGACTTTGAGTTCAAAGTAGACAGTCTTGGAGCGTTGTGTGTTGAGCGGTGAGTCCCAAAACACGCTGTACATGGGTAAATTTGTAAGGATACTCGAATCCCTGCAGTTCGCGTGGGTGCGACAACGCCAGTGGCCTGCTTGAGGTTGAGGGAGTAAGTCTCCCAGGTAGGATGGCGCTTTCAGCAGAGCAAGCTGCCCATTCTGGATCGCAGCATGAGTGCTAGGCTGCAAGTTCTGCGGTGGCCACAAAGGATTCATGTTGGTCCAAGCCAAGGCACGATCGCCATCTTCAGTAGATGCATTAGCAGTGGGAGAACTATCGTAGCCCATCGACGGTGGTGGAGGTAGAAGCGAAGTGTCAGGTACGACTGTCCAGTCGTGGTATGGCGGAGGATCCCAGCTAGGAGGGGGTTGCTGTGGATACGAAGGAGGTGGTCCTGCTGGGGGTGCGTAACCTGAAAACTCTTGTTTAGGTGGAGGCCCTGGAGGAGCAGTATAAGAAGACGACCCGTGGCTCGGTGGAGGACCTGGTGGAGCGGAGTACCCAGACGAGGATGAAGCTTGGTTCGGCGGCGGGCCAGGCGGTGCTTGATACTTCTCCGTCGGCGCTATATTATGCTGTTGGTCTTGGGGTGAGCTGTAGTAAGGGTTGTTTGAATGCAGGTCGTGTTGATCTGTCCCATATGACGGCCTTGAAGAGCTGTCGTCGCCCTTTATCTTGTCCTTGAACTTCTTGAACATGGTGGGGCTGGAAACTCAGAGCAATGCCGAAAAATGCCCTACCCTAATTTGTGGTATAAGTAGAAGGTAGTCGAGAAAATGCTGATCAGGGGTGTGTAGTATTGTTGAGTCACATACTAGGAAAGCGGGCGCACTTGAATGATGATGTAGCGAAGGTGGCCGGTTGTGGCTGTGCACGCGCAACAAACCCCGGGTTGATTGTCACCTACCCGTCTACGTCATCGTTGGTGGCTTGGCAGGGTCCTTGAAGCCTAAACCCCGGCCACAATCAATGATGCCCGTGTCGCGCTCCAACAAACGCGCGATTTCAACGCGATGGAAGTCTGGCAACCAGACCGTTCAGTCACGCATCCCTCGCATACCTTCCAGCCACAGCCTTGCCGCGGACCCTTCCTTCTATGAACTTCACGGGGACCTCGACTTCCACATCTCTCAACCAATCGCCCATACCTAAAGATCGGTGTACGAAGTCAGTGTTTGTCTCACATGCAGTTCGTACATCGGCAATTACTCACCTTTCGCGAACGCATCCAGCCTGCTACTTCCGCTAACGCCTCTGCCTAACACCCCATAAACCACGAAATGTACCGCCATGATACCTTCGAACTCCACCCTTTCCATGAAAAAGCTGTCGTTCCAGCTCTCCCCAAACATATCCTTGAGTTTGGGCATGGTGAGGAAGCTGCGGAGCCAGTCCCAGCTTTCGGCATACAGGGGTGATGACTGTGGGTAGGAGGAAGGTAGGCTTGTGGGTATAAAGAAGCCAATGTTTGCATTTCCACCTTTGTCGCCTGAGCGGGCGAGCACGATGTCTCCCAGCCGCGCACGCGTCATTGGGCCAAAAGAACGAAGATCCACGGGACTCGCAGTTTCATAGCTTTCGCGCCTCCCAATCTCTTCCGACAGCGCTGGCGGCGTGGTCGTCAACGTCCTTGTCTCGCCAGCTTCGAGAAGATTGATCGCCGTCTTTAGCTTGCTTTGCGGCCAAATCGCTGGATAGAAGCTCAAGTACGGTTTCGGTATCGCCGTACGATGGTCCATCGTACTATGGAAGCCAGAGTAGTGCTGCATCGCAAAGTCTGCCAGTAGACTCGCTAGACCCAGGTTCACGTTTGGATCGCCGCTCTCCGCGAAGATTCGACAATACGATGTACTTCTGAGCTGGCTCTTCGGGTCGGTCTCCGGCATGCCTATGCGCTGGAATTCCAAGATGTCGAATCTGTCCAGTATGCCTTTCTGCTTCAGGCCAAACTTGATCATGCGTTCCCAGAGATCGAATTTCTCAGCCGTGGCATACCCGGTTGCGTTGACGACAATCTCGGATTGGTAACCTGCATGATAGAAGATTGCGAGCTTCGTGGTGGGTGGGGGTGGTTTGCCTTTGACGCCCCACAGACGAACTCTTTCTAATTGTTAGCGAGATTGCTCCTGCCAGCATGACATTTAAGTGAAGGAGATTCGAGCGTACCTGTTCTTGCCTCCAGCTTTGACCTGAACCTCATCCAAGATAGCCTTGACATCGCTATTCAGGTACACGTTGCCCTGAAGCTCATATAGAAACTGACATTTGACAGTGTCTTCTGTGACAAAACCCTTCCTAGCTTCGTGCTTCGTGATCACACATGTTCCGTCCTTTTCGACCTCTGCGATGCCGAAAGTGATGTCGTACAGGTCATCCAGCGGATACTCGTAGAAGCCCGCGAAATTCGAGCCTGTTACATAGCCACTGCATTCGATGAGATGACCCGCAATAAGGGCTCCTGCAAGTGCGTCGAAGTCGGTGTCACGCCACGAGTACCAGTACCATGCAGCACCGATTACGGGGCTGGCGTCCGCAACGCGACCCGCGATGATAATGTCTGCGCCTTCTTCGAGACCTTTGACGATTTCGCGGGCGCCGAGGTAGACGTTCGCACTGACGATTGGTTTGTCGCTTTTCAGGACGTCGAGCGTGTGATCCGCGACCGTTACCTCGCTGTTGTCAGAATCTAGATGCGGCGGTAAACCTTTCTCTTTGATATCCTTCATTTCGTCCATTAGGTTGTCACCAGACACATACGCAACCTTCAGATCATATCCTTTGCTTAAGACCTGCTCGTCTGTCAATTAACTAGACCATGTAGCGACTACATCGATGAGACGAGACTCACGAGTTCATGCACCTTCTCTGCCAACCCCTTCGGATTGTGCGCACCACCATTGATAACGACTTTGATCCTCTTCTCATTCAACAGGTCGATCGTCTGCTCGATGCCATCCCAAGCTGTTTTCTCCCATCCAGGATGCTTGCCCGCTGCATGTGCCTGGGCATTTTCCGCGATGTTGACTTCGGCAAGATAGTCTCCTGTAATAAAGTCTACATCTCCTAGCTCTGCTTGGTAGAGCATGTGATATCCGGGATCCCCTTGCATTCGTCAGACTGGTATGACATAGGGAAGGCTGGTATCACCTTTGTAGCCTGAGCAGTTTGCTATCCTCACTGGACGGCTTCCGCGCTGCGCTGTCCATCTCGTGCTGTAGGCTGACGATGCCATAGCTACTGCTTCAAAGATGACAGTCGACAAAGGGCTTGTGGTGAGATATTATGTGTATTCTGGGATTAGATTGCTAACGCATGCGCATGCGCGTAAAGCAGAGTTGCATTATCGCGATACAGCCGCAACTTAAATCATCCCACCAAACTTCCAATCACGAACACCTCCACATCAGACTGCTATTTCAACAGACCTGATCCTCTTCTTGCGTAACGTGTATCCAGATTGCGGGGTGATACCCCACCTTGTCGGGTAGATTGAGCTAGTCGACTTACTCGCCCGAGGGCCGAAAACGAATTGCCGTCCATCTACCATGATCGGCAGTGCTTGAGTAAGACCGGTGACAACTAGGACGATGGAGCTGATGCGCCGATTGGCGTTGCTGGCACCATGTTACAAGGCGACCAAGTAGCTAATGGGGTCGAGTGGGACGTGTTTCGGACAGCACAAACGATAAAGCCCATGCTACCCGCGTCTCGAAGCCACACTCTCAGTTCTCTCAAGTCGAAGTCAAGGCTCTACAACTATTAGAAATGTCAAATACTATGACGAACGGTCATACGAACGGCACGAATGGTAGCCACAAGGACTACTCTGTCCCCCGCGAAACCCAACACATCTTCGAAAAGGGCATATTAAGCAATCCCCTCATTGCTCCAACATTACCCATCGACATCGCAGAATGCGCAAAGACAGTCCAGTTCAAAGGCAGCGATAAGCCCAGTATACCCATCAACTGGCGCTTCGCCGAAAGCATCTCGGCACTCAAGGGGCTGGAAGCCGCCATGATCAACGTCCTTCTGAAGCAGAAATATGGACTGGAACCCCAAGAAGCTGTCATAGATACGTAAGTTGAAATATCCGAGCTTCCACGTTAATCAAGAAAAGACCGAACAGGCCTGCAGCCTACATTAGCATGGAAACCTACAAGATAGGTGACCTAGCGTTAATGTAGGCTGCAGGCCTGTTTAGTTTTTTTCTTGTATAAGGTGCTTCTGTTGTTACGAGTTGTAGCCATTGAGTAGCTAACGCGTGTCGGTGAAGCGACCATGCGCAACTCTTCTTCATGTCGATCCTATTGAACGTCATCGATCCCGATGGCGAACACATCGAGTTCTTGACCAAACCATTCGCGAGTGGATCGGACGCATACAACAGATATTTCAAGAACTGCGATCTGCATGATACTAGTAGGACTCCGTATCGCGTGGCGGCTACGAACATCTACCGGTGCGAAGATGGAAGGTACTTCCATTTACATGGCTCCATGAACCCTGAACCCACACAAGAGAGTGTTGGGTTACCGCATGATATGGACTTGGCTGAGTCGGAGGATCCATGGAAACCGTACGAAGAGAAGCTAGCAAGCATTGAATCTGACGAGATGCAAAGGTTGGCATCGGACGTCTACAAGCAAGCTGGTACCATCTGCTGGACAACCGAGGAGTTCAAGAATAGCGAACATGGAAAAGCGAACGCCCATGTAGGCCTCTACGAGATTCACGACGTCAAGAACCAGAAACAGCCAGCGTGTTGGTGGCCAAATAGTTCGGAGACAGGTGTAAAGAGGCCACTCGCAGGTCTCAAAGTCGTCGACCTGACCCGCGTAATTGCTGCTCCAGCTCTAACCCGAGGCCTTGCCGAACTGGGTGCTTCGGTGATGCGAGTAACAGCTGAGCACGTTACTGACATGTCCATGCTACACGTCGATCTCAGCTGGGGAAAGTGGAACTCGCATCTAGATTTCCGGAATGAAGAGGATAGAGAGAAGCTGCGCGCTTTAGTCCGAGAAGCCGACGTCGTCGTACAAGGCTATCGGCCTGGCGTGTTGGAAAAATATGGTTTCTCTCCTGAGGGCCTACTCGACCTGACGAAAGATCGAGAGCGAGGTCTCATTGTTGTGCGGGAGAACTGCTATGGCTGGTATGGTCCCTGGTCGTATCGCAGCGGGTGGCAACAAATCTCTGACGCGTGCTGTGGCGTATCGATGGAGTTTGGACGAGCCATGGGCAATGACGAGCCTGTGACACCAGTTTTCCCCAACAGCGACTTCTGCACTGGTACTTCTGGCGTCATCGCCGTCTTGAACGCGATAATTCGAAGGGGTACTGAAGGCGGCTCCTACAAAGTCGATGTAAGTCAGCTCCACCGTTCGGTAGCGTTGTGGACACTAACTTCTACAGATTGCCTTGAACTACTACTCCCAATGGTTGGTAAACAGCGTCGGCACCTACCCTACAGATGTCTGGGAAGATGTCTGGACACGCAATGGCCGCCAAGTATTCCGCCATTACCACAACATGCAGTATACGTTGCCGCGCTACATGAAGATGCTATTCGAGAACTCAGGATCCGTGCTCTTCAAACCCGATTTCTTCGAGATGCGACACGCGGGCGCGATCGGCAAAGACGTAAAGGGAGTCAAGCCCATTATCCAATACCCACAAGGGAAGGTGGAGTTGGGATATAATGTAGGGACGCGAGGAAATGGTGTCGATAAGCCAGTGTGGCCAAAGAGCCTGATGACCGAGGTTGTCGCGTAATCCTTGGATGTCATCTTTTTGGCAAGGGCGAGGAGATAACTAGAAGGGACGTATCAAGGCATGACTATTTGTTGAACGGAATTTGTCGCGAAATTTGATCCTGCTGTGTTCAAGTGAAGAGGCGAAGAAGGGAACCTTGGAAGTGAGCTGCCGCTGGGAAAGCGCGCTAGTCGACGCGTCTTCACGTGACTACAGTTTGATAGGTAGCCACCGGATCGTCTCACAAGCTCAACATTCTTCTCGCAAACCATGCGAACGAATTTCCAAATACTGGCAGGCTGCCAATGTAGGCGCATGCCATCTAATGAAAAGGATGAACATCTACCTATGGGGGATAATGGATGTAAACAGCCTAGAAGTCTACATTGCGTTCAGACTTTGCTAACTTCTATGTGAACACTAATGTAGACTGCAGGGTGTTTAGTCTTTCCTCGAACGCGGTGGGCGACTATGCGAGACGTCGTTAGAGCCAACGTCATTCGTGCCTTCCATATCCACACGAAAAGCTTCATCATCAAGACTAAGCACCATTGACTCATACATCCTTGACGTTACTCCTTTCATCTGACATGTATTTATTCCGCTACAAGTACATCAGCCTCCATAAGCCTTTCCACTGTTCCCAAGATTTTCGATCAAACACACCTCCAGGGCTATCTCAATCCGAGCCTCTCAAGCCATGGAAGCACTCATCCACACCCACCGCCTAACGCTTCTCCGCCTAACAGACACCTCGTCCCCTTCCTCTACACACGTCCGTATCTTCCACGAAAACTGGTCGAATCCCGACGCCACAGCATGGAGTCTGCACGGGCCCACGCATTCCCTGCCCGAAAGCTACGAGTGGATGAAAGAGCAATTGGCGCCTGAACTTGATAGCATGTTTTATGCTGTATTTGTCAAAGCCGACACATCAAACTCAGCCTCTACTAGCGACGATGACACTGGGCTGGGGAAGCATATAGGCAGCGTAAGCCTACGTCTTCAACCTAGCGGTCCTTCTCTTCCAATCTCACAGACATCCACATCGACCAATGTGAGGGTGCTGGGTTACGCCTTGTTTCCGTCAGCGTGGGGAAAGGGATATGCGACGGAAGCCGGTCACGCGTTGCTGCACGCATATACTGCTTTCGTGTCTTCATCTTCCTCATTCTCGGGCGCTCAAGAAGACAACGACGGAACCGAGCCACAAAAAGGGAAGACGTACATCGAAGCAGCAGTAGACGAGGGTAATCCTGGTAGCGTAAAAGTACTGGAGAAACTTGGCTTCAAGAAACTGGGTTGGAAGCATGAAGAGGGGAAAATGTGGCTTAATGGAGCGTGGAGGAACCCTGGGTATTGGGTGTATGGGATGTTTGTTTAGTGTGCAAGTATGAGAAAGCACATGACTGAGGCTGGAGAAGAAGTAGTAATACATAATCGCATACACAGCGGAGTATGCAAACCTCTCAAGAACTATGTTCCCACAGAGTATCCGTACATGACTGCGTGCCTTACCACTCCGCGACTTCACCCTGCTTGGGTAGTGTCGCCCGAACAACCTTGTCGCAGTTGAGCAAGCAAAGAGGATCGAATGCCTTCTTGAGCTGCCTCATTGCGTCCACAGTAGTTTGGCCCACTTCGTGTGGTAGGTAGTCTCTCTTGACGAGGCCGACGCCATGTTCACCTGTGGCTGTACCTTCGAGTTCGATAGCGCGCTTGACCATTTCGTGGACGAGGTGGGAGGCTTTGTCGAAGTCCTGGTTACGGTTGTAGAGGATGATGGCTGGAATGATATGTAAGCGAAAGAGTCCTAAGATGAGGATGCACGCATGAACCTACAGTGGAAGTTTCCGTCTCCAACATGTCCTACGATACTGGCGAGTAGTCCACTCTGTCGAATCTTCTCCTTGGTCTCTTCGATGATTTGTGGCAGCTTGGATATCGGGACGGCGACGTCGGTGGTCCAGACAGCCATGTCTGGGTTGCCCTCGCCCTTGGCCATAACGCTCCAGAGTGCTTCCTTCCGCGCTTGCCATAGGTCCTCCTTCTCTTGTTCGGACTTGGCGAACTCGAAGCTTACGGATCCGGTCTTCTTGGCAAGACCTTGCACCTGGCTAATTTGTTCCTTGACGGAGCTCTGTGTGCCGGCGAACTTGAAGAAGAGGGTGGGGGCATTCTTCCAGGTCTTGGAAGTCTGTCCCGCGTCGTTGATACATTGCATCTGAACATCATCGAGGATCTCAATGGCAGCAATAGGTACGCCAGCGCCAACGACTTTGAAGACGCAATCTGCTGCTGCGCGGATGGATGGGAAAGCGCATACGGCTACACTGGTGTGCTGTGGCTTTACAATGACTTTCAGCGTGGCTTCTGTGACGAGACCTAACGTGCCTTCGCTACCGATGAACATGCGCGTAAGATCGTATCCAGCGGAAGACTTTCGCGGCCGTTGTCGCGTCTTGATGACAGTTCCATCAGCCAGGACTACGGTGAGCGACACGACCCAGTCCTTCATTGTGCCATAACGGTATGCGTTGGTACCGGAGCACCCTGTCCCGACCATGCCGCCGATCATTGCCCCTGGACCTGGGTCGGGAGGGAAGAAGAGACCTTCTTTTGACAGCTCTTCGTTTAGAAGTTCCCAGCCCACTGCTGGTTGAACGACAACATCCATGTCGCCCTTGTGGAGCTTTATGATCTTATCCATGCGACTGAAGTCGATGCATATGCCACCCTTTGTTGCTGCGAAGTGACCCTCTAAGCTTGTACCTCCGCTGTACGGAGTGACTGGTATTTTGCGTTCATGGCAGACCTTCATGATCGCACTAACTTCTTGTGTGCTGCCTGGCTTCACGACGCAGAATGGCACATCGCCTGGCTGGGAGGGATGCGAAGACCACGATGATCCGCTGTGCGACTCTAGGTCGTTGGGATCCAGTGTGAGATTCTCCTTTCCGACAATATCGCGGAAATCTGTCCAGGCTGCTTCCATGTTCGCCTCTGAGATATTGTGCTTGGGAGGATTGAAGGTCTCGAGTGGTGCGGTCGAACTCGTGTCTGCGATTGGAGGCATCATCTGGCCATAGTAGTAGCCGATGCTTGCGGTCATAAGACATGCTACTCAACTATTAGTATACGCGACAACTGGGGTGTATGAACGGTTGGTACCAAATACTGTCGCAAAGAATTGTCCTCTTGCCGTTCTTTGCTGTAATGACTGGATCTGGATCTGCTCGGCCTTCTCTTTCTGTACACGCTCGTAGATACTCTCATTGAGTTGCAGGTAGAATGGCTTTTCGTCCTCTCTGCCCATCGGTTTTCTTTCGCTCGCCCATCGCCTCTGCGTTATTCTTCCGACTCCCGCACCAGCTCCGCATGTCCGCCATAGCGCTCCTCCCGTTGCGCCTCTTACGGCGAATGAGCCTCGTGGCAGGCTTCGTAGCGGCATTGCGACTACAATTGACGGTGATTCATGTCGTAGGCGTCGATGCGACAAAAGCGGGGAAAGCTTTGCATGTGAGTTGAACGATGATGCTGCGCGGGTAAATCCCGGACTTAAGAGACCGCCAAGAGTTCTCTATGCATGTCGCAACCAGTGATGAGCATTCTATGTGGTTGTGGAGAAGCGTTCATGCGTAGTCTCATACTGAGCAATTACTGGCAGATATCACGACATCGGGATCTGTCAGAAAAGATGCGTCATCACGTGTAAGTCTGTCAAATTACGACATCCGAACAAAAGCAAGCATCCCGAGGTCAAATGTAGTCAACGAAGATTCGATAAGGATAGAATGCATTTGAGAAGCTCGATGGCCGATACCAGAGCGTGTTATACCGAAAGCAAACCCAGTCGCCGTACCCAAATTCTCGCAACGCCGCCAGACACATGGTGCCGGCCTTGAGAGAGGTACCCAGAGCGTATCCAACGCCAGTGCATGTCCAAGTGATGAGTGTGTAAGATATGATGAAAAGCAAGTAAACAAAGCAGGTCTCTACCAATGCGCCTAAAGGAAGAATGCTAAGTCTCTGAAGATGCTCGCAAGATGTATAGCATAAGCATGGGAGGAGCATATATCATGAAAAAGGCCGTGATCCCAAACCAAACGCCATGCTAAAAACACGAAAGAATATATGCAAGAAAGAATGGGGTATAAGGATGAGATGCAAAACCAATCTGCTCAAGTGTCGGGCCAAGTGAGAGGGGTGTGTAGGGCATCGGGGTTAGAGGTAGTGGGGTGGCACCCAAGGCGACTGCTTACGCGGCTAGGCTGTCTACATCCGCTGCGCGTGTCTGTGGCGGTGCATGCGGCCTACTTTCCAGACATGCGCAGCAGTCGAGTCTTGAGCCAGATTACGAAACGCTGCCACGTACCCTTCGCGGCTCGGCTTTTGGTGACTTTGGGCGTAGAGGAAAAGACGGCTGCTTTCTCGGGGTCGACGGTTGCCACAAGCTTTGGCAGCGAGTTGGAGTGCGCCTCACGGTGGTCTGAATATTGGCGTCCACCCACTGAAGGGCGTCCGGCTATCGAGGGTCGTGGCGTCTTCTCATAGTCGGTGGACACAGTACGCGTGCGGTTTATCTCTGATCGGTCGAGCGTCTCTGACTTGCGACGTTGGTGATCCTCCTTCTTCTGCTGCTTGCGGTAGTCGCGTTCCTGCTGCTTGTGTGCCACCTTTTCGTACTTTCGCTCCTTGGCTCGCTGCTCCTCCTCGAACTTCTGTCGCGCAGCACGAATGGAGGCAGCTCTCGAGGCGGGGTCTACGGGGGAGTCACGACCGCCGCGGATAAAGCGGTAGGTCTGATCGAAGGAGGTACGCGAACTGGGCGAGGTGGTGTCGATGGACTTGAGCGTGTCACCACGCGCCCTGGGTTGGGCAATCGGAGAGGTGAGCGAGACGGACGACTGGGAGTAGCTGCCAGCGAGGCGGGTGGACGAGTTGTTGGTGTGGATGCGTAGGGATGTTCCCTGTGCCGAGGAGATGGAACCGGATCTGCGCGCGGGTTCATACGCGTTTTGTCTCAAGCGGAACTCGTCGCCCGACATGATATCATCGCCCTCGTGCTCGCTCCCGAGAATTGATGGCGGCGACGAGTGGGCTATTGGCGGTGTGTACGGCTGCGGAGTCTGGCGGATGGCAGGCAGTGGCGTCGGCCGCTGCAGACCAGACGACGAGGAGAACTGCGAGGTGTTGGAGGTGGAGCGATTGTGTCTGTGGCGGCCGTTGACGGGCGAAAAAGAAACATCGGATATGGACCGTGAGTGGGCGCCATATTCTGATATACCCAGACCGGTGAGGTCGTTCTCGGCAGCAGGGCGTGATAGATCGAGCCCGCTGGTCTCCTTGGACGAGAGCTTGCGCAGGTAAGGCTTGATCTTGAGCTGGTGGGAGGAAGTCGCAGACGGCATGGGGCGTTGTGTCTCTATCCAAGACTCTTCGTAGACCTTGGGCGTGTCTGAACGGTTAAAGGTAACGACGTCGTAGTCAGCAACGGGGCTCAGAGGGCGCGGACTGGAAACAGCAGAGGCTGAGTAGCCTCGTTTATGGAGACGCGCATGCCGGTTGGACATTGTGGGCGGAGTGAGTGCTCGCGCGTGTTATCGGCGCATGTCAAAGTACGCTGTAAGTAGACCAGGAGAGATCGGCGCAGGTGGTTGTTGCACGCAATAGCATATCACCAAGCCAACGTCAGGACCAGGACTGGCGGCAATCTTCCGATGGTTCCGCGGCTGTCAAGCGCCCACAAAATGGTGACGAAACGAAGGTGTCAACTCGTGCGCGGGATCCGGGGTAGCGATGGCGTAGACAAGACGGCGGTTTCCTCTCTAGCCGACAGACGCTTCCTTGGTTCCTTGGTTGCTGGAACCCATGGACTGGTCCGACTAGCTGCGAACGCTCAGATCAAGGCAGCCGGCCCCAGCTCTAAGCGCCTAGACGGCTAGGCGGTGGGAGAGTAGGTGAGAGATTTATGTTGCCGGGGGTGATAAGAGGAGCATCACCTCGAGACGCAGACGCCCACGGCGTTTAGGGGCCTGGGTGCTTATATGCGCTCGCTGCTGTGAGCGTCTTGTCTAGTAGATGCAGGATGGTGGAGGTACACCTAGGAGAGGAGACCGGCTGAAGCGGAATCGCCGCCTGCTTGGAACGAGATAGCAATATGACTGGCTGGGAGAGCCTCACCGCTCGTGAGCCACGGAATAGAGTGCTACCGTGCCGTCCGACGATATGCCTCATCGCTTTCCGTACCGCTACCTCCATCTCGCTCCTCTTTCGCCCCGCCCCGTATGCCCCGTCGCGCCATCAACACCGCGCAATCTAGTGGCACAGCAGCTCAGAACGCACAGCACTTCATCACTAGAGGCCACGAGTCGATTCGAGGCGCGGAGATGCTGCAAAGCTGAAGCTGACCTAGATTCTCATAGCCCGCACGACTCAGCCATGCAAGTGCTCCGCCCATCGTGGAATTGGCTGATATCTCACGATACTCTTACCCCGCAGTACCAATCCTTGTCCTAGCCCAAGCCACATCAGACATTCAAGGCTGTTATCAACGCAGTATGCATGTGACGAGAGAAGGCCTGGCCCACAAAAGCCCTCGAGTACCTCCTCACGTGCGCGCTGTTCACCGCGGCCCGCCTGAAACACGCTGGGATGAAACACATCTTTTACCCCTCACTCTTGCCCAACCATCTCCTCTCTAAAACTTTCAAGCGATACCATTCGTGCACCATTCCTCGATTTTGAGAGTCAAGTATGTATGACAACACCCATACGGACAAGAACTGTGATTCCTCTGGCCGGTCTTGCACCACAGCATGCACCTTGAAACCTTGGAATCTTCACGCTACGCATATCGGGATCCAGCACGCGTTCCGCCATCAACGATGTATCACATTGGAAAGACGTCACCATGTAGGATACGATCACGAGGAAAGACGCCTTATGAACTAACGAGTTCATGTCAAAATGCTGCGTGTAATGCATTCTTGACAACCTTCTTTTCTTAGTTGTGTCACAACGCGATGCGCTAACATTCAACGCGGTGCCACAATATTGGACGCGTTTCGAGCATCGAGAAGATGACGAATGTGCTCGAGAGTAGTCAGCATCTGAATTGGTTTAGGCTCATCGAAAAATTTGTATTCGATAGTGCTGCAAGGCAGGTTGTGGCTTTACCCGACAAGAGGCGTTGGATGTGAGTGAGAGAACATGTAGTAGTGGTAAAAGTTTGCGAATATGCACATGGAAGTAGAAGCGCATAGTCAGTCCTTTGTATGCGGTGTTGCTATTCTCTGGCAGGGCTAGTTTGCTGTCAGGGTGAGAGAAAGTCCTGGCGTTGCTGGGCAATGGACAAGGCCCACCCTGACGTCGAGCACGGGTCGCAACTTCCCTACCAACATCAAAAACATCTCAGCACCATCTTCATCCACCACGCGCGTCCCATGGAGTTATAACCATCCCAACCAGCCACCGACCGCATCCATCACTTTCAGACTCCTCGAGTGATCGCGACCATGTCGTCCAATAAGCGGGGCAACATTTTTGACCAGGGGAGGCCCGAAAACCCCTACGACGATCGCGATGAAGTCGCGGATGTGCCCCAGAAGGCGACGGCAGCACAGCTGGCAGCCCGCAAGTAAGTCACCTTCACCAGTCATCGTTGGAGTCTATCCCAGACCTCTCTAGTCACGATGCGCTTTGTCCGTCGCGTGCTGACTCTTTGTCCCCCAGAATCAAGACCGCGAAAGCCCGACGACCAGCAGGCGCCACCTCCGTGAGTACCCTAACCACAACACCACACTCCCCACCGCACCCTCGACGGCTGCGCAAGCATGTCGACCACCCGCCACACCCCGAAAGGGCGACGCGAGTTGCAACGCAGGATGCAGGCCTTTGCTAACGCACGCGCTCACCAGGGTCTATCACAGAGCGCGAACTTTGGCGCACCACAACAAAACGCCTTTGGCTTCGGCGCCTCAACACCCGCCCCCGCGAGCAACGGCGCGAACGGCTTCGGTGGCGGCAATGCCTTCGGCGGCGGCGCGACCAACAGCTTCCCACCCGCGCAGTCCGCTGCCCCGAGCAACAACTTCGCTGCCTCGTCTTTTCCAGCGTTCGGAGGAAGCAACCAGGGCACAGGCTTCAACCCTACACCGCCCTCGTCTGCGGGCTTCAACTTCACAGCTGGAGGTGCAAACCCATTCGCGACGGCCAACTCGGGACCCGCGACCAATGGCAGCACGCCTGCGCCCGCATTTGGGGGATCGTCCATGTTCGGCAACAACGACCAGGCGCAAAGTAATCCGTTTGGCGGCCTAGGCCAGAACAACACCACAAGCGCAGCCTCATCAGGCGGTATGTTCGGTACTACCAGTTCAGCTCCCACAGGCGGTATGTTTGGGTCGTCCAGCGCTGCGCCTACTGGAGGCATGTTTGGAACGTCGAGCGCTGCACCATCATCAGGAGGTATGTTCGGTACATCCACCGCCGCTTCTTCCGGCGGAATGTTTGGTACATCTAGCGCTGCGACCTCAGGTGGTATGTTTGGCACATCGAATGCTGCCCCCGGTGGCATGTTTGGCACCACCAGCGGCGCCCCAAACGCTACGAGCACCGCCGCTCCCGCATCCACACCCTTCACGTTCGGCGCCGCAACGACCACAGCCTCGAACACCGCGAGTACGCCGGCGACGAGCGGTATCTTCAGCGGATTTGGCAACTCAACACAGTCTACGGCGCCTTCACAACCAAGCACGTTCGGCGGCTTTGGTGCCAATGCGCAGAAGGAAGATGCCTCCAAGCAGGCGGCTGCGCCCCAAAACAACATGTTTGGTGGTTTCGGTTCCAACGCACAGAAGACGGAGGGTACCTCGGAAACGCCCAAGCAGAACAACTTCTTTGGAGGCTTGGGTACGAGCGCGCAAGGCACGCCAAATGCTACGGCCACCGCTCCTGCGTCGAATCTATTCAACTTCGGCGCGAATGCGCAGAAGTCTAACAGCACGACGTCAAGCGCCCCTCCAACAAACCTCTTTGGTTCTGCTCCGTCCAGCAATCCGTTCGCAAACCTCCCGACCGCCGAGAACACGTCTTCTGGAGCAGCTGCACCAACGAACCTGTTCAGCAGCCTCAAGAAGCCTGAAGAGTCTGGCAGCAGCCTTTCTGCCGATACCCCCAAGTCCAACCCGTTCGCGGCACTTCCCAAGCCAGCCGACACACCTACCACTACAGGAAGCAGTTCAGGTTTCAGCATATTTGGTGCCAACAAGGATGCGGGCGCAGCAACAGTGAAGGCTCCCGAAGCGCCAAAGTCAAGTCTATTCCAGCCGTTCAGCACACCACAGCCAGCGAAGACAACCGACGTGGAGAAGTCTCAAGGGGGCATGTTCACTGCTGCTCAACCCAAAACCAGCTCTGGCCTCTTCTCCCAAACGTTCCAGCCCGAGAGCAACAATTCCAACAATTTGTTCAAAAAGCCACAGTCAAGCTTCCCCCCTGCATCGACATCGGCATCAGAAACACCCAAGGCTGCACCTGAGGCTTCCAACCCCTTTGCCTCTTTGCCCAAACCTTCGACAGATCGTCCCAACTTGTTCAGCGCTTCGAAGGAACCCTCGCAACCCTCCCCTGCGCCGGCCACATCGATCTTCAACAGTACTACCTCCGATTCGAGGGGAGAATCGCAGGCATCTGAGATGCCCAAGGTTCCCAAGGTGCACGTTCCCAAAGACTGGGCTGTTCCAGGTGCCGTTCGCGCGCAGAGCAGCGATGGCCTACTGAAGCAGATATCCGATCTGACTGCTCAACTGCAAATGTTGAACGAAAAGTACCGACAACAGCTGAGCAACCTTCCTCCCACGGCAGACTGGTCAAGCGTGTCGCTTTGGCACTACCAGCATGCGGTCGACATTAAGAAGAAGATCGACAACGTGAAGAAGCAACGTGCAGCCGGACGAGGTATCACCGGCAATGAATCAAGCTTGTCCACGAAGCGCAAGGTCAACGATGACAGCCACGAAGTCCGCGATCCATCCCCTTCCAAGCGAGCTCGTGCGACGGAAGCATCTGCTGGTCCGACTCCGCAGCTCTCGGCTTCTACACCGAAGCTCAGTGCCCCAGCCACGGCGACATCAAACATGTTTGCCAAGGCGATCGGAAACAAGCCCTCTACACCTGCGCCAGCGTCATCGACAAGCCTGTTCGCCCCAAAGACAGCTGAAAAGTCCGCCACCGAGCCCTCGCAGCCAGCTGCATCGACTCCCGGTTTCGGTTTCAAGCCCTCAGTTCCCACCACTAACGGTGCAGAAACTTCGGCAGCCTCGTCTGGCTTCAAGCCAAGCTTCGGTGCTTCCTCCACCAGTACATCAGGTTCTGCTGGTTTCAAGCCAAACTTCGGCAGTGCTCCGGCAGGCGGCTTTATGGCTCAGTTCACTAAGACCGCGAAGACTTACGAGGAACTCGCCGCAGAACGCAAGAGGAAGGCTATGGATGAGGACTACGACTCAGATGATGAGACCAAGGAGGAGTGGTCTGCCAGGTACGACAAGGCTGAGGCTGACCGTCTCGCCAAGGAGAAGGAGATTGCTGCCTCGACCAAATTCGTGTTACCTGGTAGTACTTCTGGAAGTACTTCACCCAAGGGGAACCCGTTCACTGGACTTTTGAAGCCTAAGAGCGGAGTTTCCACTCCCAAAGCTCCCAGCCCGGCGCCGTCTACAGGCAGTCAATCGGTTTTCAACGCCTCCACGTCGCAAGCATCATCCCCCAATATCTTCGGCCACCTATCAGGTCCTTCTTCCAGCAACCAGGAAGAGTCGGATGACGACGACCAACAACAAGACAATGCTGGGTCAGCAGAGCCGCCTTCGCCTCCGAAGCGCTCGGTCGATGCATCGGAGACCGAATCCGAAGATACCCAACAGCACAATCAGCAGGAGTCAAGTTCCAAGGGCAGCTTGTTCTCAAGGATCACCAGGGATAATGATTCCGAGGCAGAGAAGGAGAACAGTGGCGCCTCTTCTCTGTTTGGACAGAGTAACGGTACTACAACTCCTTCCAACAAACCTTTCCAGTTCTTCGATTTCGGTGCTGCATCCAAGACCGCGCCGCCGAAGACCGACACGTTTGCCGGCGATCAGACTTTCAAGGCGGGTACTCCGATCAAGTTTGGCGGAGCTCCTGCTACTGAGAAGAAGGACACTGCACCTAAATTTAACTTCCAGCCTGCTACGCCTGGTGCTGGCGAGTTCTCCACAACGCCGGCGAAACCACCACCCAGCTCGATCTTCAATTTCGCCCCGTCCACAGGTGGATCTTCGCTTTTCGCTCCATCCGGTGGTAACTCTGTGACCTCGTCTGTATTCTCTTCGCGCGCAAACACGCCTCTCTCTGAAGCTGGCGATACCAGTGCCGCGTCTGCAGCAGAAGATGACGAAGAGGGCGGCAAGCAAGAACAGATTGACTTGACCAAGTTGACTGAGGATGAGCTCAACACTTACGACATTGTCTTCCACACTGAAGTCGTACTCGCCAAACACCAGGAGGGAGAGAAGGGCTGGACGAACATAGCAAAGGGCCCGCTCTGGATCCTCAAGGACAAACAGACGGGCAAATGCTCTGTGCGAGTGCGCATCCCCAGCGGTGCCACCCCAGTCAACTACCAGATCCTACCTGCGCTGCCTGCCACCGTCACTGGCGGTAGCAAGAAGATGGTCATGGCGACCAAGCCTGCCAAGGAAGGCGGACTCCAGTCTGTTCTTTACGCAGTCAAGACGCCTGAGATCGCACAGGAACTCGCAGCGAAGTACACAGAGTGTGTACCTAAATCGCAGTAAGCGACCTTGTCCATGTCGACATTCATACCCATTCTACGAACCGTGGGGTTGAGCGTCTAGCTCATCACCTGCATCCACGGATTCGATCACTTTGTTTGCATTTGTTTGTTCACCTTACCCCTGTTTCCGTTGACACCTCCATACACGTGTACCTATATATTCCCACAAGATTGGCGACATTGTTTGTTTTTCCCCCAGCGACTACCTTCTTCATTCCCCCTTTACTTCGGGCTTGTTGGAACATCATCACAGAGAGATGAGCATTGCATAGTAATGGCGTTGGTGGCAAGGAGCCCCTCTTGATTTGTTTTCTTTTATGCGAAGCGACGATGGATGGAAAAATGGGATCTTGATCTTCATGTAGTATACTATGAGCCTTCTTCCTTAATATGCATCAGCGCATTAGTCGCGCTATCTTTTGAACACATTTTTGGGACGTTCACGTGCATGACTACGTGTAACTGTGGTGCTTCCACTGACTGAGGGGGTAACCACTACCGTGGACTCAGATCATAGTTGCTTCGCACAGCCCCGCAAGCTGGCCCCGGGTCCTCTGCCTCCACTTCCCCTTTCGCTATTTTCTCTTCCAGGATTCTTCGTTCCTCGTTGAATCGATCTCTCTCTGCCATACGCTCGTTCTTCGTACTTGGAGGTGGTAAGACACCAGGGAGTGGATTAAACCATTGTCTAGAGAAGATATCAGCTTATTGCCACATCATACAACAACGCTTACTCTTTCGGCGTATTCCTGCCGTCCACGCCACGAAAGCGATCTTCAGTCGTCTGACTCCAGTCGTGTCGATCAAGGTACGCCTTCAACAGGAACGGTGACATGGGCTGTGCATCATAGACCTCTATGCCATTTGGCTCGTCATCCGGTGCTGGCACCCTACGGAGGGTCCTGCAGATGCCGTCACAGCCTATTTGGCGGAAGCACTTGAGATCTGCTGGGCGCTTCATCGTTGCGGAGAACTCGGCGAGCGCAGCTCTGGCCTTGGACGGGTCTGCAGGGCTCGGTTCGTGGACGCCGGTCTTCTATGGATAGGGTTAGGTTTGCCTGTGTTGAACATCTGGTTGATTGGCCTACGCTCTGTTCAGGCGATGATGAACCTTGTACCTGCGGGGGTGAATGAGGTTGTGGTGCAGACATGCTGGTACCTAGGTATGTAAGTTTATCGATGCTGTTGAACGCAGAGATGAGGGGCGTTGCTGTGCATGTATGTATTATAGCCTGCGTGAACAACGGTAATCAGGCTAATGCCAGTGTAATGCTGACCTTACGAAGAAGTTCTAGGCTGCGAGTTGAAGTTATTGCGGCACAGGCGCACAAACGAGGGGAATGTATTGGCTTTATGTGGGCAGTGCTTACTTTCTTGCTGAGTATGACGTATATGGCAGTACGGCTAAACTACCTTGTGCATGTTTGCATCAAGTAGCTACCTGATCGCGACGAGACAATGTCATACAAGTATTCGCAAGTTCGCTGGCATGTATACTCGAAGATATACTTCCTGTACCAAACTACTTGGTCTTCCTTCCTTGCTCATCTCGTCTCCTCACTCCCGCAATGAAGCTCTCAGTTGTGATATACGCCAGTGCGACTTTCCTCTTCTCAACAGCCACGCAAGAACAAGTGAGTGCATCTAGAAACACCCACTCATCATGCGTATACTCTTGTACTGAAGCAAACGCTGTAGTCTCTCCGCGAAGTACTCCGATCTCTCAATACCGAAACAAACGGTATGACCATGCTAGGACAAGACGGAGTCCTTCGGAGGCTCAACCCGGCTCACGACACGGTCATGGACTACGTTCAGCTCTCGCCACGGCACCTAGCCGAGTACGTCGCAAAGTACCCACCCGAGGCGCGTGAAATGTGGGCGGGCGTCGATGGACGCGCAGTTACGTCTGAAGCACAGCTGTGGGCTGTCCCGAGCGACGTCATGCCCCGAGACCCAAGCGCCTTGGTTACTGTACCGCATACCAGTTCGCTGTTGAAGAAGCAGGAGAACAACTGCCGAATGTGGACCTGTACAGAGGACGATGAGTGCAAGGCTGAGCACCCCGGATGTAATTCATGCGATAAATACTATGAGTGTGTTGGGGGATCAGGAAGTTGTTCCAGGCTCGTCAAGTGCGATGATACTTTGCCTAGCATCGAGTGAGCAGCTGAATCTGTTACTCACAACGATGGTATTACTATGTTTAAGTAGCTTTGTCTTCGTGCGGTATTAGGAGCGTGTGTAGCACCTCATACAAGAAAAATATCGAACAGGTCTAGAGCCTACATCGACGTTAGATCGCTTACTTTGCATGTTTTTATGTTGATGTAGGCTGTAACTACAGTAACGTAGGCTGCAGACCTGTTCAACTTTCCCCTAGGTTGACGTAGAAGAGTACTGCGAGTGTGTTGCATACGTCGATGATCTGGAAAATGCCTTTGATTCGGCCCTGCTTCGCGAAATTGGGTATATACTCGGGACCAAAACAAATTACTTACAGCCAATATTCGCCTTCCCTCTGAAAAAAACGGCTCATATTACTCCAAAACCCTACTCTCACCATTCTTCATACCCTGAAAGTGCACATCTTCAAAGACGTCCCCGTCTTGTGCTCTTGCTTCTTTCAACGCATCTTCCACTGTCCACATCTTTCGGCGGAGGAACCAACTTATCAGGCCTCCTCCTTTTTTCACCTCGTCATGTGTTGCGACCCAGTACTTTGCCCGGAGTGTGCGTTGGGCGAGGATGCCGTTCTTCGCTCCGAGATTGAGCTGCTGGGCTGAGGATATAGAGACATCGTGGAGGCCGTGTAGGAAAGCGAGGGTATGTAGTGGTGGGTCGGCTGTGGCAATTGGGCTGAGGGCTTCGTGGGGGATGCCGTGTGGTGTATATATTACACATTCGGCTTCTTCGCCGTTGATGTTAGACGATAGTTCTTCCGCTCCATCGCCATTTATACTGAGTGTAGAGAGACGCTTTTTAGGCGTCGCTGTCGACAGGAAGGGATGCGTGGCGAAGGTTATTAGGAGCGCGGAGTGGAGGTAGAGAGAGTCTCCGGACGCTGTGAGGCGCGATATGCTGAGCCATGAGGGGAGCGGCGAGAGACTGTAGTCGTGCCAGTCAGAATGGTCGGCGAAGGTGGGTGTTGTGATTACTGTGCGGAAGTGGTTCCAAGAGGATATTAGGTTGGCGGCTTGCTGCGGTACTTGTCAGCTCCTATTACCCTTGATCATGTCGCATGAGAATATACCTCTGTCGCGAGCACAGGCACATCACGATGAACCTCTAAAAGCGTCTCTTTATGGCAGTGGTCGGTGAATTCATGGCTAACAGCCACACAGTCCACATAACTCTCCTCATCCACCTCTTCCACCTTCCTCTTTTTGCTTCTTCCTCTGCCTAGTCGCAGTCCTCCAGCCATTATTTCGACCTGTCGTGCCAACTCCTCCACCTCGGCAATACTCTTCACGGCGCTCTCCGTCGCGTGGAATTGCTGGCTGAACCATTTCGCGACATCGCTCTGTCCACCGACGAACCATGGATCTATTAAAACATTGTAGTATACCCGGCTCCCGTGTTTGACGGCGTTCGCTGGACGCGGTATCTGAAGCAGCCAAGACGAGTCGGCGTTCAGGTGGTGGAGGATGGGCCGGCGCGTTGCGAGCGCGCGAACGACGGCGTCGCGAATCTCGAGGTGGAGTTGTGAAGATGGATCATCCATGTTTCGAGCGTGTCGTGATATGTTCGCGCTGGTTCTGCGGTTGCGCTAGATGGACGCGCCGGATTTGCGCACTTCAGGGCGACATCTGGCGCGTCGAAACGGTGACGATGCGACGAAAAGGCGCTAACGGAGGCTGGGGAAATCGTGGCGATGACGCACGGGCGACATGGAAGGCCCTCGTTGCAGCACTCATCGTCACAAGTTCAGCCTTGCGACATTCGGGCAGTCACCTCACAACTACTTTTGTATGTGTGTCAACGAATCCACTGGGTTATTTTGATCTCGGAGCGACGATATGATCACATGAACCCTGCCATAGGGATGGTTCCCCAATCGAAAAGTCTTCGTCGCCCATCAATTTACCACAATCTCCGCGCCATAATCCAGAACGTGAACGCTTTGCTCCCACCAGAATGACTGTGCAAGCCGAGTTTTCTGGTTTGTTTCTTGGACGTAGCATCTCACGCTCGGTATAACAAAACCACAACTGGTCGCATCCTCATGGACTTACGGACCACTATTTCGATGATATCTCTAGCTCTTTTACATGTCTAGGATCGAAGACGCGAAAGGACGTCGACCTGAGGTATGGTTGATCGCCCTTTGTGGGAGACTTCCACCTGGAATCATCATATCTATCGTCTGATGGAAGCTTGTAGGCATCATCAGTGTCATTGGTATTAAGTTTGCAAGAGACGGAAAGAACGGGGATGAGCCAAACGATGACTGGTCAATTATTCCAGTCCAATGCCTCAAAGCAACTACATCTCCCTTCTACCAGTCATCTCAAACACTTATCGCGCTCGACGGCGTTCAGTGCGCCATCCTCTCTACTTTCTGCCGTAAGCCATCACTCTACGAAGGTCTTCTACTGATGACCCTCGATCCTTCTGCCTATCTTGATCGCTGAAGAAAAGATAAATTCAAGCCGTCTCCTAGTGTGTTCTTTACTAGTACACTTGTTGGGTCTGTCTAGACTTGCCGTCCAGCCGATAAACTTCAGCGAGTATTGGCTACACCCTAGCACATACAAGTCTTTGTGACAGCCGGTGACAACGAACAGTGTTCGTCCAGGCCATCGCATGCAGTCATCCACTTCTGTCAACTAGAGGAGAAGGTCTCTCAACAATGAAGCTTCCTTGTTGAGCAAGTTATAAGCAATGTTGGCGCCAAAAGCCGCTCATTCGTCTTATGCCTATCCAGGTATACGAAGTCACTCGCAGTGTCTTATCGCAGGATTCGATGGAAAGCATCATGCGTGCATTTCACGATGCATGTTCGTGGGTTGACGATGTGAAAGAAATGTTCGCGCGCACTGATACGAGATAGACTATCGATTGCGCGGGAAGACTGCCGAATGCGGCAACGTCGCTGGCAACACGAGTACGGGGTTGCATAGATTGATTGTACGTGCATAAGCGCGTTGTTGGCTCTTTTGCGCCAGCCAGTGCTAGTATCTGAGAAATATTGTGTGAGTAGTTTTGCTGACGTCATTGGGTGCTAGAGCTGTTTGTTGGTGTCGCACATGCTTCGAAGTCACTTAACAAAATACTCACGGGGAAAGATGAACAAGCACTTTTGAAGGAGTGACAAAAGTTGGTCATAATTTCTGTCTACTACTACTAAGCTCGTGCCCGTCGTAACCATTCTATACCAGTTGTTCGTTGAATATAAACAGTTGAAGAGGAAAATCCAAACGCGTGAAAACCATGATAAAGCAGAACTAAAACGCTGGAGCTATACAAGGCGAGGGAATGAAGGCTCCAAGACAGAAGAGCTACAGCAATTGTTTTGCCGTCAAAACACCTAGACCGCCCGAAATCTTTGCTTGATAAGTGAAGAGAATCCGCTCAAGCTACCCGAGTAGCTTAGTAGTGAGGGTAGGCGACGTAGCCGGTGGGCTGGGGGGTCACCTTCGAGGACGAAGGAGTGTTCACGGGGTAGTGAGCCGCCGAGCTTGAAGGGGTGGCAGCGGGGTACTCCTTAGTAGACGAGGAGGGGGTAGCAGCTGGGTACTCCTTGGTGGAAGAAGAGGGAGTGGCAACTGGGTAGCCCTTGGAGGAAGAGGGGGTGGCAGCCGGGTACTCCTTAGTGGATGACGAAGGGGTAGGGTACTCGGTGGGGTAGGCCTTGGAGGAGGAGGGAGTGTGGATCGGGTAAGGCGCGGACGAAGCACTGTAGTGGATCGAGCTACCGGAGGAAGGGTAGGGAGGCTTGACCTCAGAAGAAGGCTTGGGGCCAACGGGGTAGGGCTTGGTGGAAGCTGAAGGCTTGGGGCCGACTGGGTAAGGCTTTCCAGACTCTGATGGCTTAGGGGCCTCTGAGTAGTGCTCCGCAGGAGTGGATGGCTTCATACCCTCGGGGTAGGCAGAAGGGGCTGGGCCGGGAGTATAAGCTCCACCGACAGTGACGGTCTTGGTCTCGACT